CCTTACTCACCCTGCCCCGAGAGCTTCGCGATGAGATCATCGATTTACTGCTACTTACGCATAACCCGCAGCCTGCGGATGTATCCGAATTCGACATCTACCATCCAGACAATCGATCTTCGCCGTCCAACTTTCCTCGTCCTGTAAAGCACCACGCTGCTGGCCTGTATCAAGCCTCACGTCAACTCCGTGCCGAGGTTCTCCAGCGGTCATCTTCGCTTCACGTGGGGTTGCGATATGCCCTCCGAATTGTTGTTCATAGGACGGAAACTCGTGAACATGGTTTACGTCTGGAGCCTCGCCTGCGATGGGTTGACGCACCCGTTGCCGATGCCACCAACGTCGACAGATTTGATATCTTGTTTGAGTTAAACGACTTGTTGGCGTGGAGATGGGTCATGACTTATAGAGATCGTTCGATAGTCGGTAGCCTGTTGGATGATGCTATTTCCGCAGTCATGTATAGATATGGACGCAACGACTGCAAGACCACAGTCAACAAAGTCAACATCGAAGTCACCGCTAAAGAAAGCCCAGCGTTTGTGCGCACTGGTGGTCTCAAAGGCGACAATGCTTTGGAGAAGTTGGAACGAATCCTTTCTGATGGCGGACAACAATTCGCGAATTTCTGCATAGCAATGGCTATCAGGAGCGACTGCCTCGGACGTGTACACTTGATGGGATACACGGATACACAACCGGTGTCATTTGTTCCAGATACAGAAAACAAATATTGGACGCGAATCGGCAGCATTTCCCTGCAGGCCGGCACTGCGGTGCGCAAGAAGATCTGGTATATCGATCGAAAACTTATGGATCGTATGAAGAATGTCAAAGATCCTAAGTACCACGAGTTCATTACAGAGGTGCTGCTACAGAGAGGTCGTGCTGGCCTGGATCATGAGTCCAAGCTTGCGGAAGATTACTACGAGGATCCGGAATCGGTCATCTTGCAAGGAAGCCTTCATGCACATGCCAAGGGAATTTGGACAGGCGTTTACATCCACAAGGCTTTGCCAGGCCAGAGCGATGCGAAAGTGAGGTGCTACAGGACTTTGACTGGAGAGTCGAGACGGGAATGTTTTCGGGAGGAGTGGAAGGCTTGAGAGTGCATCGAAGATACGATCAAGGAGACCGGGATTGATAAAAAGAGAGAATGGAGAGGCGCTGGGAATGACATCTCGGGACTGCGCTGGTGCTGTTGGATGGAGGGATTGGATTCGCTGTCGCGTCACGTACGCGTCGCGGAGAATGAATAGTGATGACGTCATAGCGCACTACAAGCTTGTCCTCATTTCTTTCCAGCCTTCGCCCACGCCCACCCGCGCATCTCATCATTCATCGCGCGCCGCCCTAACAAATCGCACATTGGCCCAGACGGCACTTCCAATGACTGACGACATTGCCATGTAGCCACAGATGATCTCACAAGAAGGCTCAATTGCAGACATTTCATTGACTCTTTCGATTGTCACACAGGGCCGGTAAACACCACGAAGCCGGAATGCTTCCGCAAAGCTCCTGGTGTACTAATGGCGCCTCGCTATATCCATCTTCACCGTACCAGACGACAGACTTGATGCGCCGCCAATATCTTGACTGCCCGTTTTGTCCTTCACTTATATTCACCCTCAAACCGAACTTTGTTTATCGATGTGTATGAAGCGGCTTTGGGGCCTGCTCTGCCAACATCCGTGGATATACTATTCTTGATATGCTGGCGCTTACTTTGAGCACTTCTTGGATGCCCGACCTGCTCCTTCTCCAGCCACTGCAGCAGCCTCCCGAGCGCGTTTTCCGCCTGTCTTCGCATCTTCTCCCTCTTCTCCCTTGTTACCACCGTTCTGCTTCTTGGGCTCTGACGCCGCAGCTGCCTTTTTCGCTGCGTTCCTTGCCGCACGAGCAGCGGCTGTGATCTTCTTCTTCTCTGGATCATGGAGATGGCATCGCCAGCTCGCACGATCCTTCTCTTCAATATCTGTACTTCTTCGCTGACAGGCTGTTCCGTCATTGTTGGTGCCTGTACATCTAGCGCGGACCTGACCCTGCGCAAAGCCTCCAGGCTCTGCTTGTTCTTCCTCATCGGACGCTCCGGAGTTCATGTCGTCGCCCGCGGCAGATATTCCCTCCTCCTCCATCAGTTCCTTGTCCGACGTATTCGCCGGGTCGTCGACAGGTCCGGATTTAGTCACGGGGTGGGCGCTACCGTCGGTGTCGATGTCTCGTGTGACTTCGGGTTGTGTAGTATCGCCGCTGAACTCAGGAAACTGCCTGCGCGCAGCGTCTTCGAGGAACGACCAAAGCGAGGGGTACAACTTTGGGTTGTATATGTATGTATCGAAGCCCATTCGCTCGCGTATCTCGCGGTACTTCCGAAGCATGGCGGGTGACACTTCGACCTCGTGGAACTTCTTGTCGAAGGTAGCTTTTATCTTCGTCGCTTGAAGAGCCCACATGACCCATCCAGATAGCTCGTCCCGCTTGGCAGTGAAGGTGTTGATGCTCTTTACCACACCGCTGCCTGTCTCTTCTAGAGAGTCAATAGTCGCGGCGTCCGGAAGAGCGAAGTACTGACAGTAGCCAACATACTGAGAGATGTCGTTGATCGAATGAAAGGGTGCGGCAGGTAGGTGGGCGACGGCAAGGAGCAGTTCGCTATGCAGTTGGATGTATAGACATTCATCCCTGCTCCAGTCTCCTAGCGCAACACGCGTGACCATGGGTTTATCGGAAGTGCTGCCATTGTCGGCCATGGCGCGCGATTTGTGATGTCTTACTCTGACTTCGAGGATTAAGAGCCAGTCGCAGGGTGGTTTTGAGGCCAAATATTGACGGAGAGTAGGAGACGTTAGTATGCGTATCGTCTTTCAAGGCAGCGCACTGTCCTGCAATGTAAGGGCGGTGTTACAATACTGTCAGACAGGCGATAGACTGTATCTTCTATGGGGTACGCATCGCAGCAATGGGCGTTGTGCGCTAGTCCGATCAAGGTATAGCGAAACATTTTTGATCAAATACAGCCATGATTCTGCGATATTCACTCCGCCAAATAGTTGCCTAGCTGCTACTAATACTCTTTCATGTCTTCCGACTACTCTGATTTACCCCTCCTCAGCAGCTCCCTCCTGTACAGCTCCTGCATCCTCTCCCGCAGCTTCTCCCTGAGCAGTGTCGAATTGCACCGAATAGGCGTCCACAATGGCGAGGTCGTCTGGATTGTCACGACATTCCTTCTGTAAGACGGCATACGATACGCACAACTTGTCCGACACCTCGATTTCTAAGCGATACCGCAAGGCCGCCACTCGATTCGCCAACGGAGCCTCCGTCATGTACTGCTGATACTTGCCTCTGATTTGATCCTCTTCCAAACCCTGCTTCTTCCATTTACGTACGTGTGTATCGCGGACCAATTGGCAGTCTCCATAATCCCGCCTCATCTCGCACAGTAGCTTCTTTACGTGACGCTTTTGGAGTTGCGCATCATCAAACTGTCGTTGATACTCCGTTCTCACCTGAGCATCAGTCCAGTTATCCTCGGCGAGCCATTTTTTGATCATGCCCTCCGTAATGTCGGGATGTTTGCCGATTTGCGTTTTGCACAGTCGATGTACGGTGCGAGCAAGCAGACGATGTTTGTGGTATTCGTAGGCCATTTTGTGATAATTTATGGTGATGCTCCACTGTGTGTCGCCGTTGTCGAGACATTCGCGTGTGGACGTGGTTTCCCATTGTGGTAGGTTGCCTAAGTCCTGCCTTAGTTGGTTTGTTAGCTGCTCAGCTTTATCGCTCATGATTTTCGAATGAAGAGCTTCTGGCGACTTGGACTAATTTACTATACGCCGCTTATAAGCCTGATCTTGTTTGCTGTGACTGATCATTCGCAGCTTCTCCTATTTTCCACGTGAACCTACCCGCCTGATCCAGCGACCTGAAAGAAGCGATCTCTGAACCGATCAAACACTTTTCCGGAATACATCTCAGCATATGACAAGAGACACTGAATAGAGAGGTAGCATTTCGTATCGAACAATTACGAGCTGTACGCCTTCCCATGCGCCACGTACCGAGTAGCGTGTCTTGCCCAGCCCCCACACCGTCAGCTTCTCAGCCTGCGCTGACTGACACAGGCCAACAACAAGATACCGAGAGAAACATGCATCGCCCGACCGTATGTGATATGGTGCAACGTGAGGATCCACCCAATTCATGTTGCGCTATTCTGCCGCTCCATTAATACAAGAGGCCAGTGAGATACGGGATCAGTCGTTCCGTACATCTTGGTCAGTCTACAGCGATATCAGTAAAGCTTGTTCTCACTGGAGAGCTCGTAGACATACCGTATGAACCTTTGACCAGAGTTGGCCCGGCCGAACTGTCGCACTCTTCTTCGGCGGCGGCGGTGGCGGCGGCGGTCTCCGTGGTTCAGGCGGCACATATGAGTCGTCAAAATCAAAGCCTTTCAGACCTTCCGGACGGTATCCCAGTGAGCACGAAGCAGGGCACGAGCATATCGGTGGCCTATCAAAGTCGGTCAGTCCAAGGAGCGTCAGAAACCAGTCGAATTCACACTTGCCGGTGTACAGGGAGCTGTTCTTCTAACAGCTCATAAGCCTCCATAGCAGGGTCGTATCCGTGAGTCTTGAAGTTCTCCTTCCGCAGGTAGTACTCATTGCTTAGGATGTGTTCCCATTTCGATTTTGTGCACGTCTTGATACAGCCTGCGAGCCGAACATTCGGGATGTGCTTGAGGTATGAAAAGGCGAAAATCAGCGCCCACTCGACCATGATCTTATGACACGGAAACTTCAGTATAGTTGGCGGGCGATTGGGAAAAGAATACCAAGGGCTTGAATAGGGGACGTATGGTGATCCAAATACGATTTCGAGATGCTTAAGGGTAGCGATTCCTTGCAGCAAACGAGCTTTTGGTACAAGCGGCGGCAATCGAAGGACGGGGTGAATGTCAATCCCGAAAAATCGGAAGCATTCTTTTGTACTCATGGAGAGTTGGATATGAGTGAGCCAGCGATACTTGATGGGGCAATTGGTGCCTCGAGCACTTTCTCCAGCCAAAGTCCATCGGCAAAGCGTTTTGTTGTACCCTCCCACGCCGCTTTCAGAGCCTTGTCGTGGATCTGTTTGTTGGCTCGAAGGATGGCATAGTTGGGTGGATCTGGCCGGGAAGCCGGTGGGGCTTCTGGCCAATGAGATATAGGAATATTCCCGCGCTTGGATCCCAAAAAGACTACAGGTCCCGACACATTCGGGTTTTCTTTGGCGACGGGATAGATGTTGCCACTCAAGACTTGCCGGAGAATCTCACAACGTATCTCGGCAGGCAAAGCCATGATAGGGAAGTTCTGACCGTTCGAAGCCCACCACCCCCGCTGAAGCCGCCAACCAGCTTCACCCAGGCTATTCCGAGAATTGACCAGGGACAGAAGCCACGTCTTCAGCGGCATGCCAGGTTTAGGCCCGTTCATGTCGTCTTTCTTTCGTACCAGAATGGTATCCGCGGTCAAACGGCGACAGCCTCTAGATAGTGTTGCCTCAACAGCCATCGGAAACTCTCGGTCCTTTTCTTTGAAAGCGTACAGCTTCGTGGAGTACTCCTCTGAATGACGGGGCCACAGCGGAGGACTCATCGTCAAGTGCGAGACTTGTAGACCGATGCGCAAAAAGAGCATATATTGCTTGTTCAGCTCGGTGATCGTCTTCTTGATGACTTGCAGCATCTGATCGTTCTTCTGCGGTGGCAGTACTCTCATCTTCCACTTGTACTGATCCGAGGTAAGATACAACTTCGATGACGGAGGGGGCGATAGGCAGACGGAGAACATGCGACTCGGGTCATTGCGGAGTCGGTAGATGCGACCAATGAGTTTGTCGTCGAAGTGTTCGTCGAAGTATTCATCGCAGCCGTACATTTTGTCGGAGAAGCGAATCGTGATGTACTGGAGAAGGTAGTGTGCGGCGGACTCGTCTGTCCTGTAAGCGGTTGCGCGCTAAACATGGACTTCTCAAGTACTCGTATACCAGAAGAGGGGGGACAAGAAAGTACGTACGATCGAGGAGTTGACTATTTGACAAGGAAAAAATAGGCGCCAGGCATTAATTACGAGATGGCGTATATACGAAAGACCGCACTGACCTCCGTCCTAACAATGAAGGTAACGAGGAGCCTAACGTCCCTCGACATGCGGACAAGCACCGCACTACATTGATCGTGTAGCAGATGAGGTGCGTCTTTCGGGGCAGTAGATTGCGGAACGTGATATTTCCTGAAATGACATCGCGCTGCGATGGAAGTTTCGAGTTGTTGCGTTGCCCGCCGTCGAGACTTGGTTGTGATTGAAACTGGGCGCAGCACTCCCCTCTTCATCACGTAGGCCTCGATGGTCCTTGTGGTTAACCATGTAGCAACTCGCTTCCGTCCCATCGTTCAGAGCCTCCTGCGTCACAGCTCAATGAACGCATTCGCAGACCGTGTCATTTTCTGATCGTGCGATGATGTTTTCAGCTCTTGTACCGAACGTAGCGAGCTGTGTTGGATGTTGTCGATGCGATTGAGGAGGCCTGCGATTGCGCCATGTGGGCGGTTTTGTGGTAGCGAAGACCACGGCCAGACTATCGCTACCAAATGCCCATTTTGTGAAAAAAGGATAGTCTGTGTACTCGGATAATGAGGTCGATTCTGGCGTTCAAGAGGCGCAGTAGTAGTTGCGTCCGGTGCCGGCGGTCTAGTAGATACAGAACTTCTCCGACACGCTGCCTTTCTCTTCCCATTCTCTATGAATGCGGCCCTCGTTGACGTCGTGGACATAGCATTCTCCTACGAGTCTCCAAAGGCCGTCCACCGTAGGGCGAAGGACGTAAGGTATGGAGGTGCCGTGTAGTACGACTACCACATCGCATGGGAGCGCTTTTTCGGGCCCGAGTACTAGCATCTCGGTGCCAGTGATGAAAAGGGCATGTCCCGATCTATCATGCCAACATTGATCGAGAAACCTATCCGCACTTGGTACGAATGAAGTATCGTCATCTTTGATCCGTAGCACCGACGCAGGCTGGTACTGGTCTTCCGTAAAATCCCTTTCCGTGAACATGTGGTATTCGCTCAGAAGGTTCGCAGTACGTGTAGAGGACAGGGGTCGATATTTGAACCTGTTTCCAAATGTACAGGCAAGACATTCTTCACTGTATACATGAGCCAAAGAGCGGAGTATGGCTTGTAGGCGTCCGGGCCCGCTAAAGTTATCCATATCTTTCCAATCCGCATATTCATTGACCGCCCCTTCTGCGATATCGACTCTAAAACCGGAAACTTCAATGCAGTTTCTCCCACTTTTGACTATTTCAGATGTATGAGTGAGACTCGATCTCCCGTTTTTATTCCATGCGTTATCGAACAGGGGCCCTATGGCAGCGATTGGGGACCTATTCCAATCTGGCACCCACGATGGCCAGTTTTTGACCGATCCAGGACTACATCCGGCCCAGGAAAGCACTCTGAGATCATGCCACTCAAGGAGTAGTTTGCTTGCCACCCTGCGATAGCATTCCACGGTCGTAATGCTGTAATCGGGATCTACCAATAACCGACCATCGGCAGGATCGTGCTCGATTGTCTTCAGCCCAAGCAGGCCATAAATCCTGTCTCTTGGGTCACTGAAAATGGCGTACGTGGTTGAGAGAAGCAAAACGAAACAAGATCTCTGTACAGCGCCGGGGTCCATAAAAAACGGAGACAATTGAAAGAGAAAATAGCATCGCGCCACCTCCCCACCGAAGTCGTATGAAGAAGAAGGAGAAAGAAGGCCCATAGAAGTGGTGATCCCTAACCATTCAAACCCGATCTCAGCGTGGCCCCAAAATACAGACGTCGAGGTGCTTAATGCTGCTTCCTGGATAATCCATCCACGCCTGAACCAGGGAGAGGAGCATAGATGACGTAAAGCGTTTATCGCAGCAACACCAACCTCGGGTGGATCATCTCTACTGACATTGAATACTGGCACATCACGCCATTTGTATAGCGTTTGCAAGTTCTGTTGATGCTTGAAAATTTGTGGGAATCGTGCAAAGCCATCTGATCGGAGTATGTATCGGCATATGGCGTTCAAACTGTCCTGCACCACTTGGTCATCTTCATGTTGTAGCCATACAAGCACACGAGCAGCCTTTGTGTAGATGAAGCTCATAAGCCGCACCTGCGCGGTCCTCTCCTCGTTATCTGCCTGGTTTATGCATAGCGCATCAGCCCAGAGCGTTCTCGTAGTATCGGCATATCGAAAGCGCTGCAAGGCCTCGAAAAGGTTGCGTGTTGTGCTAACGGCGCATCCATTACATACGACGGTCTTGCGATCGATAGGGTCGCCCCAGGCATAGGAGATTGCTTCGTAGTGGAGTTCGTCGTCATGTAGATCAACCGTCCTTAAAGAGCAAGTGACAGGCTCGTCCCAGCTGCCAGGAGCCAAGTCGAGGACACGAATATGGCAATCCTGTGTTATGCGGTCGTACTGAAGCGTGTCAAAGGTCGTGGAGGGGCTCCCAGCATCGATCGGTTCCTCTGAGTGCTTGTCCGGAGGAGTCGGGGAAACAGTGGCATCGTCCATGGCTTTGTTGGATAATTATATCGAAATGCGATATCGATCGATTTGAGATTTTTCGTAGCTGGTGAAAATCTGGACGAAAGCTGGTGAGGTCGGATTACACACCATGATGAGGGAGGCGACGTGCTGCGCCGCACAAACCCCGCATCCACTCAGCTACGTCAACCTGCTGGCAGGGCCTTGGTTTCATATCAAGGCACCGCTATTTAGCATGACCTCCTCCTTCCTCCGTCGCGCCTCAAGCTTCTTTTCCCTCTGCGCAAGGTATGCCTCCTTCGCCAGCCGTCGCTCCTCTTTCTTGACTCTGTATTCCGCCTGAAGTCGCTCATTATCCTGTTCCTTCTTCTTCTCCGCCTTGATCGCATGCTTGATCTTCTTGTGTTCGGCTGACGTTATACGCCATGATCGCGACAAGACTGCCTGCTTAAACGCAGCGGTCTCAGCCCAAGCCTGTGCTTCTTCGTTGGTAGTTTTGACAACAGAAATGCGCTGCAGGTCCAGTTGCTTTACGCCTCTGAACTCTGAGATCAGGCATTTGGCCTTGACGACTGTGCCGATGTCTAGGGCTTCGCCGTCCACGACGACGTCGAAGATGCCGAATCGACTGACAATGTTCAGGTTCTTGATCTTCGTGTCGGAGGACGTATCGACCGGGTTCTGCTCGGCAGGAGGTAATCGTACGATCTTTAGCTCGATGGTCGCGCCGCTACCGTCGTCGATGGTGAGGGCCGTGTATTTGAGATTGATATCGTCGATGGCTACGACGACGCCGACGATGCGTACATAGCGGATAGGGTGATTAAGATGGAAGTAGATGCGCTGGGCTGTTCATGTGTCAGCAACAATCGTAGCGCTCGTCGAAGGCTGCTACCTTGGAAGTCCTTCTCAGACCGAAGAGCTTGCACATCCGCCGCAGTGAGCTTCACCCATATATTGTATGTAGGTGATGCTCTGAAACAATAGGCGGGGTATAGCCGATAAGGACGCGGTGGCGGATCCGTTGACATGTCATATTGTGTTGCTGGTGCACAAGGTGGGATGAGAACAAAGGAACGCGACGCGTCTCATCGCCGCCGCTCTACGCTGTCACGTGGCCATGAATGCCAAGCCAGCTAACCCAATTCGACTGCATCGGAAGATCGGCGCTTTGCGTTCACTATCTGCATGCACCTCACCACGCGATGCCATCCGATGCAGCCGCTCCCAAGAACTGTGGCTTGATCGCATTGCAGGGAACAATCAAGGCCTTCACTCTAGCAAACTGTATCTCTAACCCTCCGCCCCGCTGCCAGCAAATGCATCGTATACAGGATGGGCAGCAAGCATGCTACCAGGTCCACCCGGCCACCTGTAGCCCCATCACACCTCAACACCGCCGTTTTGCCATCATGCCCGACAATGGTCTATCGCAAAAAGCAGCCAAGTGGGACCACTTCACCGCGAACTAGACCTCGGTGCCGTCGAGGCTACCAATAGTGCGACTGCCCGCTAAGCCGGCATGAAGCTGTCCATGACGAGCTAGCCCAACCTGCAGCAAGCTTGGAGCTATTCCCAGCTCTCGATTGAGAGCTTCCAAGGTATTCCGGTCAGACTTAAGGGCAGGGTAGCAGCCCGGTATGCGCCCGACGACTGCTGATTTTTGATCTCTCATCATTTCGAGGCTGTGCCTTTTCGTCGCATACTACTAACCCGGCAGCATTTTCTTCGGTTTCTAGACGTTCGTTGTCGCAGACTTTCGTTCCTTCCGGCTTCTCTCTCTGACAGCCTCGGCGACTTTCATCGCGATGAGATCATTTGCGCCATGGAGCCTCGTCGCTGCGACATTGACATCATGTGTCGCGGAACCGATCGCAAAGCCTGAAGCTATACCACAGCAGATTTCGAACAATGCGCCATTCTCCGGCGCTGTGTATATCGTGAACCCAGACGGACAGCAAGTCGTAGCGCAAGACGCAAATTGGTGTCCTTCGTCAGCTTCAGTAAGCTGCAGCAATGTCAACCAACCGAGTTGGTGAGTAGGAATCTTGAGAGATGGCATGGCTCGTGCTAATCAAACCCAGGTGCTGTCCATCAGGCTACACATGCGCCGTTCCTGGCAACTCGAACGGACTGATCGGCTGCTGCCCAAGCGGAAACCAATGCGGAGGCGCAGTAAACGTCGCACAAGTCACGACAGTGACCGTATATCCCCAGCAGCAAACGGCTGTCGTGTACGCTCAACCACCTCCTCAAACGACCGTATACCACAACCCGGACCAGGTACAAGGCGGCTTCTGCGCTACAATCACAATGGATGGGCCTGATCTACCGAGAGCGGAGCAAGGAGGATGCGGCACAATATTGATCGTTGCAGGGGCACCAAGTTTGCAAGTGCTAGGTGTAGGTGCCGGCGTAGTTGCGCTGTGCCTCCATCTAGCGTTGGGCAGGATGTTCAACGGCGCATTATGAGAGACGATAGATGTTGTAATGACTTTACGAATTACGAGTTTACGCGGTACGATATTGTACGCGGCGCTAGATTACTCGATACATAACGATAAAACTACTGGTTTCCCCTCTTCGCATCCTCCTCGTCGTTCTTTGGTACACCGACGAACTTGGGTACGCTGACAGCGTTCAAGTGACGGAAAGCCTGTGTAAATCATTAGCATGCTACTCAGTTTGAGCAAGACATGTGTGTAACTTACGTTCGCAATACTGCTATCCGGCAACTTGCCATCCCACTTATCCTCGACCTTCTTAATCTTGCCCTGCTCATCCAAATGAATAGCAACAACACTCTGAATCAACTGCTCCTTATTCAGCCCCTTAATAACATATCTCGTCCTCAAATCCATCAGAATCGGGTTCCCCGCATCCTTAACCTGGTGGTTGAGTCTCTCGATCTCGCTAAACGCACTCTGCAGTCCGTACCATTGCGCAGAGTACTTCTCACGTCCCTCGGCGATGGTGATGGGGTCCGTGAAGGTGGCGTCGTCGCGCCAGAGTTGCAGTTTGGGGAGCGAGGGGCGGCCCGCGAAGAGGTCGAGGACGGAGCCTACGATGGTGTTTTGTTGCTCTGAGAGGGTGACGCCGGGGGCGGTTTGGACGTTTTTGGTCTCGATGTTGAGGTTTGAGGGGGCGGATGACATTTTGGCGGTTGTGATTTTTGATACCTGGGATGAGAAGGCTGGTTTGGTGAAGGTGCGGAGTGTTTGGTTGTAAGTTTGTGTTGCGAATGGGCGGAGGTAAGATGTCATTGTAAGAAGAAAGTCTTGAGAGTGGGTATTGAACAGACGGGTTATTATAGGTAATGTATTCGGTGGCTATGTACTGCCCACGAGGCGTTTTGTTATTCTATGCTTTATCCAATTGCATGTTTTTGGCACGCGTCATCATGAGAAAGGTGGTACAAAACGGTCAGGGTTACGCAATTTGTGTGGTGATCGATGGAGGTGGTGACATTTTGGTCGATGCGAATAAGTCATGACGCAATGGTGGTCCTAGGTGAGATTCGCGGGCGATCCCCTTCGCGCGTCGGGGGTCGAGGTACGCGAGCCCTTACCTAGGTAGCGGGGTAGGGGCTGGGTTGTCCCGAGAGCCGGTTGTGAACGTAGATGTCGATATTGAACTCCATGTATGTTCTGCTTGATAGATAAGAACCTTCTCTGCAATGGAGATGGTTGATGTTGCGCGGTGCTTGGCGTGATCCGAATCGGGTAACTTATCGAAAGCCGTTGATTGCGCGTGCCTGGACTATTACCACGCGCCGTCTGAACTCCCTAACGACCTTGGAACCCTCGAAATCGTCGGTGACCCCTCCAAATGCGCCATCAGTAAAGCCAGCACGCATACATATTAGGTATCAGAGGGTACAACGCATCGAAAGCTGGGATCTTTTCCTGCTGCTCTCAACCACGAACCGACTGTGGGGTCTTCAAGGCGTCGAGAACAGCCAACGTCGCCCAGCCCATCACATCAACGGTTTCTCATAGATGAGATACCTTATGCAATATGTGGATGGGCCTTAACTTCGCCCGCCTGTATACTCAAGCTGCTCTGTGCTTGCCACCGGGATAAATACTTCGGGTCAATGTTGGCAGGGATCCTCAGCTGCACCTTCCAAGAGATGAGGAACCTTTCGTCCCAATAGCATTTGACCCGGCAACTGGTGGAACATTTCACAAAAGGTAGTCTCCTTCTAGAAAGAATTATGAGATGGGCGACTACCTAGGTACCCAGTTGCGCAAAGTCGGTAAGAATAGTAAATGTTGGTAAGGCACATGAACTGTCCGTCAGCGTGCACTTTCATATTCGTTTATCTTGAGTTGTTGTCGTTCACACGCCTTATCACCAAGCCTTTTAGCTCACCACTTCTCATCCGACGGCCTCTACCGGCTAAGCACTCTGCTTCCATGCGGCAGAGCGAAATATGACGTTATTCCTCAGACGAGCGCCTGACATCGCTGGCAGCTCCTCACCAGCGGCAGCTTTCGAGAATCGACACTTTTCGGAACAAACAGGGCAGCAAAATGGCAGGACTAGCGCACTAGTACCGCCCATTACCTTGACATCACAAATATGGAGTGATCAGACTCCTGGGCAGAGCGCCCCTTTTGACGACGTGCCAATTGGCTCGAACGAAGAAACGACTGCGGACCCCTCAAGACAAGAGCCGGTTACAAAGCGAGAAAGCCGATTGGCATCTCTATTCATCGCACTACTGGCCGTCAGCCCCATGGCTATCGAATATGACGCGGCCGATCAGCAGACTATGGAGGCAGCACAGAACGCATCTGTAAGCGCGACACAACCGGAATCTCCCAAGAAGACAGCATCCCCACCAGAAAGGGGGGTTAAGCGGTCAGAGATTCGCAAGACCAAATGGAGGCGTTTCAAGTATGAAATGAAACTGAAGATGAGGATTCTGGGCAAAGCGAAGGGGAAAGATCGGTGGAAATGGACACAGGCAGAGGACTTGGAGTTGGAGGTTTTGAGATCAGAAGAGCGAAATGTTTATACGGATATGGAAAGGCAGCATAGCGGCTGATGTCAATGGTGTACAGATTGCGTCTTGAGCGCACCTCCTCGAGCATTGGATTCTATGTATCCTTCATATCATTTCCAAATCAGATCGCTACTGTTCATGACCAGCAGTAGCGACACTCAATATCTTTTCTTCCAAACCCGGAACATGAAAGCACTCAATGCCATGTTCTTCTAGCTTCTTCCGTCCCGCATTCTCGCCTACAAACTTCTCCGGCTCTTTGACGCCAAGATACACCTTCTTGATCTTCTGCTCTCCGTCTTTCCCTCTCGTTCGAATGAGCCGATCCGCGCATGGCAGGTTACCACTGAGCCGAAGATTACAAGGCTCCATGGTAGTGTAGATGACGGTGTTTGGTGGTAATGCTTCCCCAACTCTTTCCTCAGGCAAGCCGTGTGCTTGAGCAAGCTTCAAGAGACAACATTGCTCCGCATGCGTGTTTCCTTCGCATTCTAGAGTGTAGCCGCGCGAAATGATGTTCCCGGTATCTGCATCGACTAACAGGGCGCCAACGCGGAAATTCGAGGGTTTCGGCGGAGATTCTTGGGCTTGGTCAAGGGCCAGGCGCATGTATTGGAGGTGGTCGTTGGGGTCTGGGCCTTGGGCTGGGGGCACCGGGCCGTCCCATGTTCGCACGGGACCTGTGTCGTAGTCGACTTGCATGATGATGAGGGAGGAAAGTGAAGGTGATGTAATTGGCGTTCTGGCCGGTGGTGATTGGGGAAAGGTGGGTCTGGCGCGCTAGCTCCGTTAAGTCCGGGCTCACGGTCGCGTCGCGTTCTTACGCAGGCGTCGACCGTCGGTAGTCATACAACCTCCATATCCATAACACAACTACAACATGGCACGAAGACAGAGAAAAGAGCCGTCGCCTGAGGAATCTGCGGAGGATGACTTTGTAAACAACAATGAGAGCGAAGGCGAGAACGACATGGACGAAGAAGATGGCCTTCCCAGCATCGACCCGTATGAAGTTCTTGGACTCGAGACAGAAGCCACTGCCGACGATGTGAAGAAGGCATACCGCAAGATGGCGCTCAAATGCCATCCAGGTCAGTGCCCCTACTACTCATTGTGAAGTGCATCGCTGAACCATGACCAGACAAGGCTGCACCCGACGAGAAGGAAGCCGCCAACAAGGCCTTCCAGGAGATCGCATTCGCATACGCCGTACTTTCCGACGATCGCCGACGCCGACGCTACGACCTTACTGGCAGCACAGCCGAGACAATGGAGGACGACGATGACTTCAACTGGCTGAAGTTCTACCGCGAGCAGTTTGAGAACGTCGTCAATGAGGAGGCTATCAACAACGTCGCGAACGAATACAAGGGCAGCGAGGAGGAGCGTCGCGATTTGGTCAAAGCGTTCAAGAAGGTCAAGGGTAACCTGAACAAGATATACGACCTGGTCATGCTGTCCGACATCCTTGAAGATGATGATCGATTCAGGAAGATCTTAGACGAGGAGATCGAGAACGGCACAGTCAGCTCATACCCCGCGTACGAAGCCGAGACAGACGAGACGCGTCAAAAAGCCAAGGACGCCGAGAAGAAGAGACGTGAAGACTTCGACAAGAAGCAGGCACAGAAAGAAGAGTCGGGAGCCACAAACGGCAAGACCAAAGCCAAGGCGAAGCCAAAAGGCAAGAAGAGCGGCACAGACGACATGGCAGGCCTAGCCGCTCTTATCCAACAGCGCCAGAAGTCACGAGCAGGCAACTTCTTTGATTCGCTTGAGGCCAAATATGCGCCCAAGTCACGGGGCTCAAAGCGTTCGACGCCCATGGAGGAGCCATCGGAGGAGGCTTTTGAGGCTAATCGCAAGAAGCAGAAGAAGAGTGGTGGTTCAAAAAAGAAGGCTAAGGATGAGAGTGAGGAGGAGGAGATGGATCTTGACGGGGAGGAGGATATTGGTGACTCTGAGAATGAGGAAGAGGAAGTGCCGGCGCCTAAGAAGTCAAAAGCAAAGCCAAAAGCACGCGCGACACGGGCACGTGGGCGGGCTTAGTACTGCTGATCGTGCTCAAGGTGGACCTTGGAAAGTCTTGCATATGGCGATGAATGGGCGGCGTTCTCGAGATCATATACCACAGCAGTTTGCATAACACAGCGTCGGAAGCCTTGAATAAAGTCTGCTTCGTCGGGTCGTCCTTTGGTATACTTCTTGGTTCTCGCTGATCGTATCCAAAAGCTCTTTCAGATCGTTCCGTGTCTCCGTACTCTCTTCATCTAAACTACGCGAGAGCAAAATGTCGTGATCCAGTGCAATCGTAAGCTTATGCCGTCTTCCTAGACCTACCTTTGCCTCTTCCTCTTCGTTCCCATCATCAAGACATCGTAGCGTCCGCTCCCTCACCTCGACAAGTGATAATCACCTTGAAATCCTGGAAACGACGTCAAGCAAACAGCTTATACTGCCTTTGAGGCCACCACGACGTCAAGGCTACCTCACGTCTCGTCCCTTTGTGGTCACTCACTCTGGCTTCTCTTACTAGTCCGCACTCACTCTCACATTCACCACGCGTTTCCACGCTTGACACCACGCTATTTCATCTCGCCTTTCTCGCTCAAACCGCCTTTCGCAAACAACACGCTTATCACGCCAACCTTTCACGTCCTCTACGCGTCTTACCAAGTTTCTCACCATCCCCTTCGACTACAACACTATAGTGTCCAAAAAATGCCGGGTATCACTATGGCTATCAACCCGAAGGCTCCTACAGCGAGGAAAGTGAGTTGGGCTTTCACAGTACTGGCGACCGTATGGCAGGATGCTAACAACAGCAGAGTCCCATCACTTCAACACCCACCCCCAAAGTCGCTGCGAAGGCACAGCAGCAGCGCAAAACCTCCGTTTCTCAAGCCGTTCTGAAGACGCAGCAACAGCTCAAGAACTCGAATGCGCAAAACTCGCCCAAGGTCGATGTGCAGCAGCAGCGTAGAAGCTCTGCTGTGAAGCCGACGGCTATGGTGGATAACAAGAGGAAGATCAAGGCTGAGGTAGGATGGAGATTTGGCATATTCTTAAGAGCGAGACTGACGATGTTGTAGAATGTCGCACCGACGATGGCTGATCTCCAGGTTAAGCCTGTAGGAGCGGATAAGGGTACTGCTCGGCCAGAGACCAGGGATGAGACCCCGCCTAAGAAGCAGAAGGTTGAGGAGATGAAGAACGAAGTACGTGATACAAACACCTCGCCGTATACCGAACCAACTACATACTGATAATTCCGCAACTCACACAAGACCTCGTAGTAACATCTCCAGTAAAGCCTACTTCCACCGCGCCAAACACGCAGTTCCCATGCGCACCACCGCCTGCCACATCCCAGTCCACCCAGATGATGACGAACCTCCTCCGCCACGTCCTCCAAACCCAGCCCACGCTCCTCCCATTCAATCTGTCCATGCCCATAACATCCACTCACATCGACGACATAGCGCACACGATGTGGCAAATCGCCTTCAAACACGTCGTCATGCTGCAACGCGCCTGCCAGTACAGCGCCATGTTCTCGCCCCTCAAGTTGGCGGCGCTGGCGAAGTTGAATTTTCTGCCGAGTTGGTGGTTCTTCAGAGACTTGGTGGTCGGGGGGTTGCCGGAGTTGGTCAAGGGTGTGGATGGGATGGGAGGGGAGAAGGGGGATGGAAAGGGAGGGGTGGTGATTGATGATAAGGAGATGATGGGGGTTTGGGATGAGGCGGTTGGGTGGTGTGGAGGTGTTGTTGCGAGGAGGGAGGGGGTTGGTAAGGCGGTGGAGACGGCGGAGGAGAGGGAGAAGTGGGAGGCTTTGAAGGTGGCGCAGGAGGAGGGGTTGATGCTGGACAGCAAGATGGCGGATGGTAGCGAGAGTGGAGAGGGTGCAGAGTGAGGCAGACGTGACGCTATTCGGTAAAAGCCCAAGCGGTTCATGATGGAGTTGCTGGGTATGGAAGCAGGTGTTTGGTGATCAGCAAGATAAAAGAGCTTGAAAAGTAAGCTACTTCCAAGGCAACATACACTTGCGCCTTGATGATAATTTGGTAGCATATGACGTGGATTATTATCACTCCCGCTAAGCACCATAGCAAGTCTCACAAGTCCCGTAGCTCAAGCGTGGGAAGTAGATGGGCGTGTGCCCCGCCTTCGTTCTCACGATCCCACGCCCATCGCTTGGCAAGAGAGGGATCCAGGGTACCGTCCAGCATCTCCACGACGTAACGACCAATCGTAGGCATGAACTTCCATCCGTGGAAAGAGCCGCCTGTCGCAAGATACAGGTTCTGGCAATGTGGGTGCGCCGTAATGACGAAGTCCTGGCTTGGTGTCACAGCATCCCTAGACATCATTAGACCGGCTCACCAAAAGGTTTACTACATGTGACTCACCAGCAAACACGGTACTCGTCGAACTTGACGTTCTTCCCAGGTTCACCCAGTATGCCGTTCTTGACGAGTTCAAGCCGCTGCTTAAGAGCTTCGTTCGGCTGCCTCTGCGCTTGACCGGGCTCGTTCGGTGGAGATGAGAACTCTTGCCCTGATGCCTCGTGTTTGACGGTGTTCTTGTAGGCTTCGTCTCTGCAGAACTTGACGGTGTATGGGTCCTGGTCCGACAACGGTGCTGTTAGTGGCATCACTTCCCCTAGCTCACGTCAGTAGGAGTATATGCGGCGGGCTTCGGTGTCCTCACCTCTTGTTGGTAAGACAGAATGTACTGTGACTGGAATCTCGGTATACTGCTGCCCCTTCTTTGGGTCTAGGTTGACGATGCCAGTGACTACTGCTCCAGCGACCAGGCGCCCGTCGACTTGTAGTTCGGTTCTATCTGGAGCGCTGTCGGCGATCAATTTGGCTGTGCCTGCACCGGTCGCTAGGATGACGCGATCTGCTGTGATGATTTCACCACCTTTCGTTAGAACTCCAGTACATTCTCCATCAGTACCGAAGGTCAATACATCGATGTTAGCTGCGGTATACTTGACTCCTGCCTCGATCGCGGCGTCAGTGTAGGCGGTCAAGGCTTTGGTGGCTTCAGCCCACCCGCTGTCTCTGTTCACGAACACTTCTTCAACTCCAGAGAAGTCGGTGTTATCGTAGAAAGAGCCGTACATCGCCTTGAAACGTTCCGGACTCACCACCTCCGCATCGACTTCGACACCAAGCTTCTTGTAGGTCTTCAAGATCTCTCTACCCAGGCCGGTATTATCGATATTGATCATACCGCTTTGGTGGTAGAACTGGCTGAAGAGTGGGTCATGTCGCCAGTGCTGTATGGCTTCCAACGCCAGTTTCATGTAAAACATGTCGCCATAGTCTGCACGGATGACTTTGTTCCAGTCCCAGGATGCGGAAAGAGGGCAGGGGTATTGTGTTCGGTCGACCAGTTGAATATGTGTTTCGGGGTACTTCTTGATCAAGTGGTAGGCAGTGGAGACACCGAAGACTCCTGCCCCGATGATCAGGGTCGATGGCTGTGAGCTCATCGCGCATGACAGTATTGTAGCGAGTTAGTGAGTTCACTGAGACTTGTGGTTTCGCATGAGTTGAGTCAACACTTCGCATGCTCCAAGTATGGTGTTGACGATCAGTACGAGTCGGAGACGGCAGGAGCGAAAGTGGTGATGACGCACACCCCTGTCATGCTCGACGTCGCGCTAGTCCCCTCAACGCGTCGCGTCGACCAACGCTCCAACGCCCCAACTTATCGATTGCTCCACTCACCCACCATGACGCCCAAGACGCGTTCCAGCAACCAAGAAGCCGACTACAAAGTCTACTACTCCAAGAAAGTGCCGCAGCAAGTGCGCTTTCCACACAAGCGCAAGACTGTGCGCCGGCGCTCAACACCTGTACACGATGGGAAGCGGCAAATGGTCTTCCTGCCGGACAAGATGAGGAGGCAGGGTACTCCTGTTATCGCTGACTCGGATGAGGATAGTGATACAGATCTTGAGGAGGACTTGGAAGACGGGGGAGTTTCTATCAAGGCTGAGGTGGATGAGGACGAAGAAGAGCAGCCTGTGAGGCAGACGAAGCGGAAGGGAAAGAAGCGGAACAGCGATGTGGTGCAGCAAGAAGACAACGAGGGGGAGGAACTGGTCGAGCCTACATCTAAACGCAGAAGAACGGCAGCCACGCCTAAGAATCCTCGTCGCTCGAGGCGCGCCGAAGCCGGATCCGACGACAACGAAGCGACAGCTACCAAGACCAACCGCGAGCGTACATTACGGCGACAGTCAACAATGACACAATTGGTAGACGGACGGAAGCCTATGCCAAATTACGAAGAGCCCAGCTTCAAGCCCGTAAAACAGAGCTCGCGACTGAGTTGGGGTGGACGTGGCAAAAGCGAGGCAAAGAGCGACAGGAAGCAGCGCACGTTGACGCAGATGATACCTGGTATGCGACCACAAGAGACTATGTCAGATGAGGACCTAGACGAAATATTGAGCGATGTCGAGGCAGAAGATAGGGCTAGTCAGACCTACGGCGATGCTGTTGCGCAGCGTCTGGCGCAACAAGGGTTTTATCACGTCGAGGGGAATGGTGTTAGAGAGGACAACAATGCAGACGAGGCCGGGAAGGACATGGAGCAGAACCCAGAGGACGAACACATTAAGAAGGAGCCCACGGCAAACTCGCAAGACACCCCGGAGTTGGTGGTGCAGTCAGTGGAAGACAAGATGGACGAGGACTGTGAAGATAGCTACAAACCGACACAGTTTATCGAAGCACCTGTTACAAGAACGACCCGGGCGAGTCGACGAGGAAGAGGACCACGAGTCGCTGACACAGAAGAAGCTTTCTATGCGCCGCAAGGGCAGGCTAAGACACGCAAAACCCGCTTCAGCCTTCTAGCGACTCCAGAGAAACGCCGTATTCGCGAGATTCCCTCCTCTCAGTCACCCGCCGACTCGCCGCTATCGACTCAGGTCTCTCCACAAAAGCTACACCGCTCTCCCCTCAAGCAGCGCTCGGATAACCCAATCCTTGCACCAGAGACGCCTTCGAAACGCAAGCAGGTGACGTTTAAGATGCCTTCGAAGACGCCTATACCGCCGCCAACACTGAGGAAGTTTGAGAGTACGATACAAGACTCTGAAGACGAGGATGATGGTGTCATAGAAGAAGACCTGCCTACTATTGGACGTCACGGGGGTGAGGATGCGCAAACTTTCTCCGGGCGCCGTGAAGCTGCGACAGGGAAAGCCGTTGGCGCTGATACTCAGGCAGTACTTGACAGGATCGACCAGGCATGTTTTGATACAACCGGAGAGGAAGCTATGGAGGATACGGCATCATCACAAGAATCAGGCGATCTACCTGAGCTTCGGGGTGACCAAGAACCTTCACCCGAACTTGGTGACCCGCAAAAGCAATCGAGTGGCAGATCGTCTTCTACTGTAGCCGAATCCGTCGCTGTTAAGCAGGAGCCCGGATATGACGAGGACGACTACGAGGATGACGAAGACGACGACGACGCGACAATATTGCCCACAGTCCCGTCCAATCCGTCGAATGAAGAGAGGCCAATCAAGAGCGAGACCAACATGAGTAGTGAAGGAGAATTACCTTTACCAGAAGAGCAGCTCCGCTCCACCCCTCCAGTCATTGAAGATCTCAACCAAGAAACTTGCCCATCCACACCGATGGTCATCAACGACGATTCATCGGAAGAAGAAGAAGCCCCACCACCTGACCCAACTCCTCCACGACTAAGCAAGGCACATGTACCGCAGTCCACCTCGACATCCATCCCCCAGTCCGCAGATCTAAACAGCGAATCCATACAAGTCCCCCGTTCCCCATCCCCCGACCACGAAACCCAACAGTCCCACTCCAGCAAAGCAGAACAACAACTCCACAACGAATGGTTCTCATACTCCCAATACATCAACGCCCGCCCCCCCGAATCCTCAAGCATGCGCGCCGCTCCCGACGCATTCAGCTACAACGACACGCCGCGCCTCCCCCAACCCACAGCACCCCATTCAAACCACCAACCGTCAGGCTACCACCCCTCTCAAGCCACAACCGTGGATGAGATCACACAGCGCACGCCCCGACGTAAGCGTACTCAGCTTTTCTCCAGCACGCATACTACGCCCCATCGTATCGCTAGTTCTCAACCGAATATTTCGCCGGGTAAACCGCCGCCGTTGTTTATACCGAGTAGTTTCCCCAGTCCGGAGAAGGTGGCGGTCGAGGGTGAGGGGTGGAGTAGTCCTATGTTTGGGTTGACGCAGGCGACGCATGCTGCTGGGGGATGGAGGAGTAGTCAGTGGGCGAGTTTGGAGGATTTTAGTATTCCGCCGATGCCGCCGGGGATGGATGGGGATGGGGATGGGGATGATGAGTAGAGGGGCGGTGGGGTTGGTCATGAAGGGGATTGAGTTGGATAAATTGGATAGCATGTAATGTGAACATGAATCTTGCATTCTATATGTCTATATTTACGGATGAGAACGTAGTCGGTTACGCGACCTCTATTGGGTTTCATGGAGGGGTCGAGCACGCTCACAGATGCGGGCAGTGGCGGCCGCGTCGCGCCTGCAGGCTGCGCCTTCGCTTCGACCACAATTCTGAACTCCAAATCGCCCACTGTCAGCATCAAACATCCATCCGACATTCCTCAAGGGACGCTTACTGGCTTAATCGATACCGGGTGTACGGTAGGCATACTCAAGCCGACGCAGTGCGCGCGCTGCTCAGCCCTCCGCTGCAGCTTCGCCCCCGCCACTTCAGATGCCAGCTCTGTACTGGTAGTGTGATAGGTCGGAATCAGTACACAATGCAACTTCAACCAGGGCCCGAAGCCTCAGCCTGGCTGCAAGGCGTTGGTATCGATTCCAGTGCTCACTCTTGATTCCGCACGGTAATGCTCAGATAAAGACTGGCTCCGGCCTTGCGCTAATCCGCCCATCTCTCAACCCGTCATCAGTTCTGATCATTCCGATGGATCCCATTAGCGCGGTCTCCATCGCGACGTCTATTGTGACATTTATCGACTTCACTGTCAAAGTCGTACTCCTCGGCCACGATGTTCATCAGGAAGGCACCACCATCGGCGTTTCTGAGATCGAGCAACGAGCGCAGGAACTCAAGTCCTGGGTCAATGGCTTACGTGCACCAATCAGCGGTCGTAAGGACTCACTCAAGGATGAATATGAGGTACATCCGAAATCCAGCTCGTGTAACTGCATCCGCAGATAAAATGCTAACTGTTGAAGGCGCTTGACCGCATCATTGCAGGTTGCTCTAAAGTCGGGACGGAAATCATCAAATGTCTTGAGCACCTCATCCCAAAAGCGAACAAACGATCTGCATGGAAAAGTTTCCACATTGCGCTTCGGACTATCTTGAAGAAAGAGGAAATCGAAGGGCTTGTCAGCAGGCTTGAAGGCTACCAACAGGACCTCTCGTTACGCCTCCTTGCCCTGCTCAATGCGAAGACGGATGTACACTCGTCAGAAGTGACTCAGCGCCTTGATAGTCTCGAGACGGCGAGCAAGCGCATCGTGCAGATCTTGACATTCACACAAAGTTCCTCCGGATATTCTACGTCACCTTGTGATCTTACCAGGAACTCCGAGAATAAGAGCGAAGATACCAGAAGAGAGAAAGTGCACCGCGTCATTCTGGGGCTTGAAGACGGCACCACAGTTTCACTCGCCGACCAAAATTTTGCACTTGCCGGCCAAGAAGACTCAGCCCCTGGCAATTCAATCGAGCGTGTGATTACGTTCAGAGACCAATCCAACACTCATCCCGGGGAAACTGTCTCTAACGAACGATTTTCGCCGCTTGCGACAAAAGTTCTGGCCGCGCTACATTATCGTGGGCTGAAAAGCAGATTCAGCGACACAGCGATAGCCCATCATGACACGTACGATTGGATCTTCAAAGCACCCAAGCAAGACCGTCGCTGGTCCGACTTCGCGGAATGGCTCCGTAGCGGACACAGTTTGTACTGGATCTCAGGAAAGGCCGGGAGCGGAAAGTCTACGTTAATGAAGTACATCTGCTCAAACCCGATAACCACTGACCTTCTCGACTCGTGGAGAGGTGGCTCTACGCTGCTGCAGGCTAGATTCTTCTTCTGGGCGGCCGGACACACCCTGCAATCATCGCACGAAGGTTTATTACGAGGGCTGCTGCACACGCTTCTTACGCAATGTCCACGGCTTATACCGTCCGTTTGTCCTGAGATCTGCACAGAGATTGTTGCAGGACGTGAGTTGGATCTCTCCTGGACGCTTCCAGAGCTTATAGAAGCTCTTCGTCTGTTCGTCGAAAACTCTGAAGGCCTCCGAATCTGCCTTTTCGTTGATGGACTGGATGAGTACGCTGGATATCACGGTGATCTTATTCGTGCTTTCGAAACGCTGTCTTCCTACGATAACGTGAAGCTGGTGCTGTCTAGCCGACCCTTGGCCGAGTTCAACGACGCCTTCACCGATATGCCTCAGCTTCGATTACAGGATCTGACGTATCAAGACATGATAAAATTTGTTTCTGATAGGCTGGATCACTCCCGGGGCTTGAGAGAACTGGAAGAATTGGATCCAGAGCTTCGTTCAACCTTGGTGCGCGGCCTATGCGACAAATCAGCCGGCGTGTTTCTCTGGGTGGTGTTAGCGCTTCGTTCAATCCTAGACGGACTACAAAATGGTGAGACAGCATCTACATTGCAACGCAAGCTTGACTCGCTCCCCTCGGACCTCTACGAAATGTATAAGCGCATGTTCAAATCGCTAGACCCAGCAACGCAGAAGAGTATCGCTCGGATGATCCTCATAATGCTAAGAAGCAAAGAAGTGCCAAGGTCTGAGCCGATGAGCCTTCTTCAACTAGCCCTTGTCGACAACGAGGACATAACAGCTAAAAAGGCTATCACCGAGGAACTGTGGATCATGCCGTCAAACAAGAGACAATCGCTATGCTTGTGGATGAAAAGAAGGATCGATGGCCAGACCAAAGGCTTGCTTGAAGTCACGAACCAAGACAATATCGCTGAACGAGGCTCATCTGCTATGGACGCATGGGTCGAGTTCTACCACAAGACTGCGATCGACTTCTTCCGCTCTGATGAGACTTGGAACCTACTGAAGACCCAAGCTGGCTCTAACTTCAACATCGACCTTACTCTTCTCGTTTCAAGTCTTCTTGAGATGAAGGTATTGCCTTCGGAAACTGCAATTGTAGCTGGAACCAACCGTTCTGTCGCGAACTTGCGGCAAGGACTCATGTTTGCTAGCTTGTTAGAAGAACATAACCTTCGTCCTTATACGGCGTTATTAGACGATATGGAAAGGACTATGAGGCTTCACTGGGCGAAGGCGACGATGTACAAAAGGCGAGCGTTAGACGACGAATGGACCGCAACGAGAGACATGACTTTCGAACGATTCGTCGGGAAACAGGCCAATATTGGCCAGACAAGAAGATTCATGCGTAGTTATTTTGATGAGCATCCTTCCTTCTTGAGTCTTGCCATGGAATATGGCTGTTATCTCTATGTTGCCGACAAAGCCTCGTGGGAAGAATCCGTCACAGCCCAACAACGAACTTCGCTGACCTGTATACTCCTGTGGTACTACATGGCAGGGGACCGTGGGCTGGACTGCCATTCAGGTACGAAAGCGGTTACTGCGATTCTCCAAGTTCTTGCTACGGATGCCGAAGCTGTTACACGCATGGATGTATACCAGTGCTGGCGGACATTGACCAAAGAACTATCTAGGGCACGTCCTGCAGCATTGCGGTTTGACTATGCGAACAATACGATGGATCTGTTTCTTGCCTTCCTCAATGATCGCGAGATCCGCCTACATCCCGAGGTGACTACTCCGGGGGTCCGAAGCTTGCTCCAGAAAGTCCATGAAAACGTCGTAGCCGAAAATCCATCCGGCACAAAGAACGATAGCACCCAGCAAGATCTAGACGAGTTCAACACGAAGTATGACAAGGCCCACACTATACTCGCAACGGAATGGAAAGAGGAGGGTAACGAGGCTCAGAAGAAGCAAAACAGCGAAGCTCGGAAGTGGCCTGGGTTCACGTTCATTCTCCTTACAGTCCTCTTGTCGCTACTTCTCCTAAGTTACAACCTATCGGTCACTTCGCTCGGTAGCTCGGATACAATACGAGACCTCTAGATCTCTAGCCGACAGCGAAGCTTCTATACTCTCTGCTTTGACTCAAATCTGTGAGCGAAAATATTGAACCCATATTCTATCCCATCCCAAGTATTTGCGATTACCCGTACGATGACCTATAAACAATGCGCAGCGAGCCACTTACGACTGCAACGAAAACAACGACTACACGATGCCTGAATCTCATAATCGAATAATGGGGACGGGATTTTAACGGTGAAGGTATCTAGCCACAAAATCTTGGAAGTTGGAACGGCAACGACGCGCTTCAACTCAAGCTTCTAAAGCGAATACGCACTAGTGTTACTACATCCATATAACTACTACACGCTTTTGAACTAGTGACAACCATTGATATCTCTACAATAATTTCATGGTTTGAGACGAACAACCCCGTAGCGAACAAAACCATCCCTGACGATATGAAGAAAGACTTGCTACACATGGTTAAAATACACAAGATCCAAGAGCGATCAAGTTGCAGTCAATGGTATACATGCATCATGCAAGTCGACTTCATAATCGCCCTCCTAATACCATGCTATGCAAATCTATCAACGTCCACAACCTCAACCGTGAAGTATCCATCCTCCAGCCACACCCCCAGCCAAGCGCCACCCCAACCCCCTAACTCAAATCAAACCCAGCGCCCGAGAAAACGCTATACAGCAACTTCTCCTTGAGCGTCCGCTCATCCTCATACATCGGCAACTTCAACAAATTAACACACGTACTCGTACTAGGCAACCTATCCTGATCCCTCCCCGCATCCCTGATACTAAACCTCGGATTCAGCGTACCAAATCCCAGCAGCGGGGCGCGCGGCGTGCTCGTCACAAACTTCAGCACCGCACGGCGCTCATCATCGCTCATCTCTTTCATGACCTTCCACAGCAGCTGGATGGTCGGGTGCTCGATTCCGTCGTCGCCGATGACATAAGTGCCGCCGTAGATGGTGTTGCGGCGCAGGTCTTCGATGTCGATGGATGTACGAGTACCGGAGATGAGGGTCTGCAGTTCCGATTGGTTGAACATGGAAAGCCAGGAGGGTTGGATCATGGTGCTGAGGCCGCGGAGGAAAGCCGTGGTTTGGGCGTAAGGTTGGTTTTGCAGGCGGTGGCGCGCCATGTAGCTAATATAAACAAGCCGGTTCTGGTTGGTGACGGGGGTGTTTGAGCCGTCGGGCTTGAGGTCCTTGGTTATGGCTTTGGTTTTCTTGGGCGAGGTGGTGTGGTCTACGATGACGGTGTCGGTGACGGTGAAGTTGAGCGAGAAGTCTTCGACGTCGCCCGGGTAGGTCTTGAGCTTGTGAAGGCCTTGGTATAGCTCTTCGTCTAGGTCGCGGAGGTCGTTGAGCGTGGGGCGGTAGCCGGATTCGTTGGGGGCGGAGCCGGTACCGCCGGTTAGTGCCCATTTGCGTAGGAAGAAGGGGGCGAAGTTTACGTCGACTAGGATACCTTCGTACAGACATTTCCCGATGATGCGTCCTAGGAACTCGTAGCGTTGAAGCAGCTCAGTGATCTGGGCACGGTACTCTTGTGAACCCTCGCGTATGCCAGCTTGCCGGAGAGCCTCTTTGTGCTCTTCGACTGCTGCGGGGTTGGGGTACAGAAGATGTTGGTCATTCTCAACAAACATGTCGATGTACTCAGTTGGCATAAATGCTCGGCTGGTGACGCTGGTGAGGAACTCTTTCGTAACACCACCACCATCAATACCGGCCTCAGGAGCGCCGAATTGATCCATGAAGGTAATCTGGATTGGTTCCTTCAAGCCCTGGCCCAGTTCATAGAACTGCTCGAAAGCATCATCGAACTCGTTCTCTCTTCTAATCCGTGCCGTATGTTTCTCGAGTTGGCTGCGTGCGTTGGGCTGCTGCATAGTCCGGAACCGCCAGAACTCAGGATCCGCGGATCCTCGTCGCTTGATCATATCTAGTTTAACAAACTCGCGGAAGATCTGAACGCGGGTGGTGAAGGGTATGAAGAACGGCATGTTCTGCAGGATTTCGAGACGAGGTGCTACCGCTTGCAGGTAGCGTCTCCGCGAAGCCTTGCGCTGCTGCCGTTGTAGTTTCTCCAAGCGACGTTGTGTTTGTGTGCGACTTGTGCCAATGAGTTGTGGCGTGTCGTCGAATTCCTCTTCTTCCAGGTCGTCAAGATCTTCCGCATCTTCCTCTTGGATCTTGTGCCGCGACTCTTCCTCCTCAACTACAGCGGGGATGAACCCCGTCATGTCAAAGCGCGAGACCATGAGCCAGTGGTCCGAAGGCAAGAACTTGCGTCGCGAGTCGCGCTCGTATACCATACGAAGAAGTCCAGTGACCAGACCTTTCACGTAGTCTATCCTCAAGCCTGCGACACCACCTATTGATGGCTCAGCATGCTCTTTCTGGGCTTGATTGTCCATGACGCCAGGATTGAAGTAGCTAAGACTTCTGTTGTTGCCTCCCATATCCTCTTCCGAGGTTGTGATGTCTACTGCGTTGAAGTAAAGTGTGAAGCCCAAATTCTTCAGGAAAGTCGTCAGGTCTTTCACCTCGCCTAAAGGTAAGCCGCTGTCGCGAATCTGGCCGGAGTATATGTCTTTCTGCCCGGAGGTGAAGAACTCCTCGTCGTCGGTGACTTTGAGTACAAAGGTATATAGTTCAAGGAATACCAGAATGACCCGCCATTCGTCGGTGGTGACTGCGTCGCGATCGACTTGCTGTTGTGCTGGCTGCCAAAAGCCATGTTGCGTTAGTCCAGATGTGCCAGGGCGGTCAGAGTTATTCAGATTTGAAGATCTCGGCTTCAAGAGTCCGATAGCTGCCCTCGAGTCCCTGAAGATCGTAGTAAAGACCGATGATCGCTTCGATGCTTCCCAAAAATATCTGATCGCTGGAAGCTTCCTTGTGCTCTTTCCAGACACCTCTGATGGGCCGATGTAGAGCCACATCCTTATCTCGTCCCCGCGACGAGGGAAGAAGCGAAGTAATGCAAGCGCGTAGTTTGCAAGCTGCCGGGCTTCTTCAACCTTCTCATCATCTGAAGCTTCCGCTGACTGTGATGATCCGGCCAAAAGACTTCCAATACCTTCCTGATGTACCAGGGAGCGGACCTGCTCTTTCAAGAAATTCGACACGGCGCTGGAGTCTTGTTCGGAACCATCGTCTTCGGAAAGCTCGGCGATTGGATGATCGTCATCTACAATGTTGATTGGCAGGGAGTTCAACAGAATCGACACGACGGCTACAAAATCTTTGTGGACAGCATAGGCTTCGGGAGTGTCGAAGTTGTGGGCGTAGCGGTGGAAGTAGATGAAGTTTCCCAGTAAACGCAGTCTACTTGATGTGTTCTTCAGTTCGGATTTGCTTTGCAGTCCTGCTCTCTTGGAAAGTGTCGCCAACGCGTTTGCGAGTAGTTTGTAGTTGATGGCGTCAGCGAGCGAGTCGCGGAACCTTTGTGATGGTGGTGATGTTGAGTCCGAGCCCAATAACGGAAGAGTCAAGAAATGTATACCAAAAGCCTCATAAGCATCCAGTGTGTAGCCAGTCACCCGCGTCATCGGTGAAAGGGCTGCCCTGACTATGGTGTCACTTATCTCCGCTCCTTCGCTCTGCGTTTCAAGTGTTGGGGTGAAGGTGGACACGACGCGTGCAAGAGTACGGTAGTAATGCTCGGCATTCTGAGACGTTTCGGCGGGTATCTGGTCTGCGAGGAACTGTAAGACGGTGAGAGAGGCCCCTACCTGATTCCATTGCATGGGCGCGTGCTTCTGAAGCTGCCGCTCTATGGCCACGAGTAGGATGCGCTCCAGCCGTAGATATGCCCACGGCCACGGCCCGCTGGATGTGATGCCCAACTTCTTGACTGTCTCCATCTGCCGCGATGCATAGTGCTGTATCCGTCGCAGATCATCATCGCTCCGTGAGGATGCAAATCGAAGCAGCCGTTGTAGTTGGGCAAGAGCCTCCTCCTCCGAGTCATATGTCGCCGTCCTCGAAGAGCCATTCGCCTCTTCTACCCGGTCCCATGCGCCCCGTAGCTCGTCAGCCACATCTCTCCTGGCCGAGTGACCCCGCCATACTTTCTGTATCCGCTTGGCCGCATTGAGCGTGTCTCGTTCCCGCTGCCGTTGCGCTCGCTCTTGCTGTGCGCGATCGAGGGCGGCTTGTGATCCAGCGCCGGAGCCGGGAGGGCCGAAGGGATTCGTCTTCTTGCCGCCGAGGTTGACTTGGCGCGCCTTTCGCGTGTTGCCGGTGAAGCTCGTGAACATGGTGGCGGGGCGTTGAAGAGGCCAATGCGAGACGTCGAATCGGTGTATGTGTAGGGTAAATGTGTCTAGATAGGTTCTGACGCTCTCGGTGGTGGGTCGGTCTGCAGGGGAAGTATTAGATTAGGTGTGAATATGTCGCTGTATAAGGGTAATAGTGAAAGCACACGGCACCAGCCAAGGCAGCGATCAGTTGGGGGCGAGGTGGAGGTGTGCCCATCCGTAGGGAAAGAGGTGCACTCGGTGTCGTGATTCGTATATAGAAGGCGCAAGCTACGTAAGGCCTTCGACCAGGTTCTGCGTGTCTCGGGCGGCGATGGTCGTGGTAATGGAGACAACCATACAGTGGTCGACATCGCCGCAACCTCCGAGAGTCCGTGCACTGCTGGTGCCGTCATCGCGCTTCGAAATCGCGACGCGCCCACTCTTCACCATCACCAACACAATGCCACGATTCACGCGCAAATGAATGTTTTTCTAACAACGCGCAAACCCCGCACGATGCTGAGAGAGCACCATCATCGGTCGTCTAGTCACAATTTTCGGCTAAAATTCGCTTGCTATACTCTACCATTGTCTAAACGCGTGAGAGGATTTATCAGGCACCCTAATACTCATACCCACGATACGCAGTCGGCAGCAACTCCATTCCCGCCTCTCCATCCATTCCGTCATTCCTCTTCTTCGCGTCCTTCTTCTCCCTTTCCTTCGCCTCAGTAAGCACGTTCATCATTACCGTAATAAGCACTCCCATAGCAATCAACTGCCCCGAGTCCCACACTATCATCTCCGTATTCGGATTCTCCATCCACCCTGAACCAGCGACCCACTCGCGCATTGTGTACACGCGGAACCAGCAGAACGTTGACGTTACGATGGGTGTGAGCAACACCAAGATCCAGTAGATCAAGGTGACGAATGCCCGCTTCTCCGTCCATACCTTCGGTGCGCGGTCTCTGGATTCGGCGAAGCGGATGGGGACTGAGATGTGGGCGGCGAGGAAAGCGACGCCGAGGACGATGTACATGAATCTTTCGGGTGGCCAGGCTGTTGCGTTTCCGAAACCAAGATTGGCTTTGTTCTGACGCGCTTGCTCTTCTGCTGCCGATCGCAGGTCCATTTCTAGCATACATGCTACTGGGAGCAGGATAGCGCTGTCTCTGCTCGAATGTTTGAGTGCGCCATACGGAGCATAGTTGGCTTCCCTGAAGATGGTCAATCCGACACCGATGAAGGCTCCGACGGAAAGCAACAGTCGAAAAGCGGCTGCAAGTGGATTTCGCCAATAGGTTCGCACCAGCGCGATGGAGAAGGTGAGAACAGACAAAGCGATCATCATCTGACTGACGGCGACCGTAAAGTGATAGCTTGTCAGCTTACACTTGCTTCGGCCAGCAAAGCCGAGAAGGAAAGCTCCGACGAAGATAGTCTGAGTGTCTGCAACGCCCAAGACGAATGTTCGGCCAGCTGCGCGCACTCTATCTTTCCATGTCGGATCCGCGTTCGGATTCTCGGGAGTCTTGTTGTTGGGTTTGTCTCGGAAGCTCGCGAAGGCGCTGCCAAATTGACTATGTGCGTCGACGATTAGTCTGGTTCGACAACTTACACTCCGATATACTTACGAGACATCTGCCCTGAACCAGAGCTCGATGAAAACGAAGATTAAGGAGATTGCGACAACGACGAAGAACAGTACCATCGCGATCCATATCTAGCTATGTCAGCACAATGTCTGCGAATTATCTTCTTGACTTACTCCGATTCCAGCTATACCAGGCTGCGGCGCCATTCTTCCCCTCGTAACATTGCCAATCGAGACCAAGTCATGATTTGCGCCAAACGTCAGGCTACAAGCCTGAGCGAGGTCCACATCCTCAGCCTTGCAGGCCTCCACAACGTTAAACTGGAACCCACTTCCGCTTTCGCCTCTCAGAAAACCGAAGCTATTGCCCATGTTGGCGGATTCGGATTAGAGTAAGGCTATGCCGATATAGATAAGACTGTCACAACATCTGGCAACAGCAAAGCTTTTAACATGCTAGACCAGACTACGAGGCTGAACATGGGGGGCCAGAAGATGCCGCCAAGCCCGTGAACACGAGAGGCGTTCACGACTGGACACTGAGCTTCGAAAGCTGAACTTCTGCCTCCAAGGTCATCGAACATGATTGGGAGCCTCACCAATGGAGGATATCAAATGCGCCTCCAGCGGCAAACAACCCAAGGCCTCGCGTAACACCGCCACCACACATACTGTAGAAGACCAGGCTGAACCGCAGCCTCATCCCAACTACTCTCCACTACCCCCAAAACTCCCTCAAGTCCTCAGCCCTCCACTTCGTGCTCCACCCCGAAAGTCTCTCAATCTTGTCCAGCAGCTGCAAAATAGCCTTCTGCTCACTCTCATGGCTCATCCACTGTCCCGCGATCCACAACGGCTGAATCGCATTCGTCCACGCAGCATGATCATCATTGCTAATCGAGATCCCACAGATCTGTCTCGCGTGCCAGAAAATCGAGTTGGGTTTGGGTGTAACGGTGGTGTTGGGAGGTTTGTGGCGGAGGAGAAGGATACAGGCGGTGTGGTGGAGTTGGTTGCCGGACATGGCGGCGGGGTTGCTGTAGAGGAGACGCGGGAAGGGGGTGGTGGGTGGAGTGAAGGAGGAGATTGGGAGCATTTCTGCGGGGCGCGTGGTATACCATGTTGAGATGTGGTGCCAGAGTTGAGTCCAGCGTGCGGTGTATGCGGTGTCTGTGTCTGTGGGTATGCGTGGTGTGGCGCCTACGCGACCCGCTAGGTTTGAACGGAAAGACAGTAAGTCAAGGATTTGAGCAATGAGATACACGGCTTCGCACGCGTAGACGTTGTAGTCGCCCACAGAACGGAAACGGTCCACGTCGGCATCGAGACCCATCCCTGAAGAAGCCCAATGCTCCACCGGTATGAGTGTTTTGGAAGACGCGATAAGGCCTCCGCAGACGTCCATACGCGCAAAGCACCAAAACAGCGCTTGATCCACACCACCACTAAACCCATTAATCCCCACAGCTTCTAGCAGATGCGCACATCCATCAAGGTGCTGATGCCACGCTTTCGCCGAGCTACTCAGCATCTCCAACACACATAGCACGACGCATGATGCTATTACCGGCGTGCTGCGGGTATGTAGTTGCGGTAGCACGAGTTGGATGGCTGTCTGGTAGAGAGCTAGACTGCGTGACGTATGTTTACTGTTATTCTTCCGCTCTATTTGCCGTGCCGAGAGAGCGAGCATCGAGTACCGCAAGTGATCGTGCGACCGCGCCATGATGGGTAGTGTGCGTTGGAAATGGCGCTCTGGGTCGAATTTATCGATCCAGGGTGCTACTTCGTCGAGCCAGTTTTTCCATAGTTCAAACTCTTCTTCCGCGGATAGCTGGGGTGGCGGGATGTTTGTGGCATCCGGCTCATTGATGGGAGCGGTGTCAAGAGAAGTTTCCGCAACGTGCCTCGCTGCATCTTCAGCATAACTTCCTTGCACCCCTCCCCAGCCCAGTCCAACACGCGCAGCATCCGGTGTAACCTCTCGAGTCGGCACATTAGATCTCACTTCTTGTATCAAATGACTCCGGAACGTGGAATGCGCATCGAGATACGCTGAACCTGGTAGGAAGACGCTGTCGTCTAGATACGTGGTCGTGCCGGGACTGTGCCAGATAGACTCGATGTCTCGCGGAGTGGGTAAAGGAATATACTGGGTCGACTGAAGAGTATCTATACTATCTTCCGCAGCCGAGAAAGGCGTGTTTGGCTGCCAGTATGGGTGGCCATGATGCGATGGTACCTGCTCGTTGTCGGCTGTAGCCGGCGATATATTGCCAGAAAGCGGAGTCTGCCGATCATGATTGAGTTGGTCTGTTACATCAAGGTCATCCACTTCTGGATCGTAATGCTGATAGTCTCGTATAACTTCCGCAGTCACGTCCTTGATCTTGAAGCGCGCTGGTGGTCGTCCTGGAGCGCGATGCAGCGATGATGGCCCGATACCCAACGCGTTCTCCGCCCGGAAGGTGAGGCGAGAAGCCCATTCGCATTTTTCGTTCTTGCTGCTGCAGCGACCGCATGTGGGTTTCGTTTCATCGCATTTTCGCCTTTTTACTTTGCAGTTGATGCAGCTAGGAGATGTGCGTCAGCATTTCATGGTTGACGTGGTATGCTTCGGATTGTACTGACCCATGCCGCGTTCTTGCTCTTTTCGTACCGCGTCTTACCAGACCATCTTCATTTGCCATTGGACGTGGTCGGAAAGGGTCGCGAATAGATATCTGATAAGACCCCGGGCCTGCCGGTCATGATCAAAAGGCGTTGATCAGCTGGGTGGTTGTACGTTTTCATGATGCAGATCGGACTATCACTAGTGGAAGGTGCCATGTGGAGACCCCGCATCTTAGCTGCATTGCGCACTGCGTGGTGATGGATGGAGGTGCTGTTAAGAAAGTATCTATGGATCATCACGGTGTATCAAAGAATTTGTTTCACGCGAATACAGCGACTTCTTCGTCTATTTAACTACCAACACGTACAAGAACGCGTGAAGAAAACAACCTATCTTTTTAACATCTCGGTCGGCTCATGGTATGTCTAAGAGAGCATCGCATACATTGTCTCATTCCATCCGACTCCTTTCGGAAAATCCAAACATCAATCGACTGTTGCGGTACAGTACGAACAATGGCAATCGCACATACCGCGCTTATCAGACTCGTTCCAGTGCGTCCAAATACCATGGAGCAGGACAGCTAGAAAGACATACCACACGATCTTCTTCGCAAAGTTCTGCGTTTCCAGACTACAGCGTAGTCGATGCGCTTTGACTCTTTCAAAAGCTTCGAAGTTGTAATCGTATTTGACAAGCGCCCACTGCGTGGGGTCGTATTCCTGCTCAAGTAAGAATCCATCGACCATATCTTCTCTTAGATCGTCATATTCTTTCAGAGGCGTCCTCTGTGGAGTTATCAACCTCCATGGGTCAACAGGTCTCGGGGTGCCTGAGTCGTTGTCCCTCCAATGAGCTTGATCCTTCCATGCTTCTTGTTCGACAATCATCAGCTCTGAGTTGGAGGGAATAGTCGTGCGAAGGCGGTCAGACCATTCTGGTCCGAAGTCCCTTTCGAGGGTTGACGGAGTTGGTTGCGATGAGTATTTCATGGTTGAGCTGATCGGGATGAAGAATGCCGTTGAGTGGGATCTCACACATTTGGACGAAGCACATGATAGAGGTCATTAAAGTCGGCTTATGACCATTTTAAGTCTTGGGTGAAAGAGAATGCCGGTACTGAGCGACCATGTTGATCAAGACATTCACGCTTCAGTGGTTAGTCGCTCCACACGTTGCGCTGTGTGAGATTGCTAGATCGGATCAGATGCGCACATCGCGACTTGTGGGAATGTTGAGTCTGAACACAGTATTGCTGCGAACGAGTCGCCGAGGCGCATTGATGAGGTCTTGATGGTCGCACATCAACACCGTGGCAATGAAGGTTTTGGTGTCGCAGTGAACCCCGCGCTCGGCACACCTTCCTCCCTCTCTGGTGGGGCGAAAGCGCACAAGCGCACCCAGTGGGGCGGACCCTTTCCGACGTCATGTTCAAGCTGGGCGCGCTCCACCAACAATCCGAACAAACGGACGTCTGTCGTCCGAACGCGTCCATAAGAAGGCTGAAGTGGCATCTTGAAGCTCCCAATTCCCCTGATCACACGCCACGAGTCTTATTTAATTTAACTAATCTATCGTCGCGAAAATCCAATCAAAATGGCAGGAGACGCAGAAGACCGCGCCGCGCTCGTCAACCGACAGCTCCCAGAGATGACCCTGTCAACAGCCGACAACCCTCTCACAGCACCTAGACCACCACCAGAGAACCTCTCCACCGGAGAAAGAGCGCAGTATAGGTTCCAGGTCAAGGGCAATGCGATCAGTACGTGAACGCCTCTAGGGTAACCTCACCCATCTTCATCCCCATCCACACACCACACACCTTAACCATCATCCTAACCACCACCACCACAGTCACTGGCGGCGCCGGCACCCTCGCCCTCGAAGCCGCAGCCGCCCTCCTCGAACACGGCGCCACGGGCCTCGCCCTCTGGGACATGAACCCCGACCAAGCCTTCGAAAGCGTCAAGAAACTGCACTCCAAGTTCCCCCACGCGCGCATCATAACCGAAGCGGTCGATGTACGAGACGAGAAAGCCATTGCCTCAGCCGTCGAAAGCACTGTAAAGGTACTTGGTAGCATAGACATGCTCTGCTGTTTCGCCGGCGTCGTAGGCTGCACGCACGCGATTGAGATGGCGGCGGATGAATGGCGGCGCACGCACGATATCAATCTTACAGGGTCGTTCTTGTGTGCACAGGCTGTTGCGAAGCAATTCCGTGCGCAAGGCACGGGGGGTAGTGTTACGTTTACGGCGAGTATATCCGCGCATCACACGAACTACCCTCAGCCGCAGTGCGCGTATAATTCGTCCAAGACGGCGCTGTTGTCGCTGGCGAAGAGTTTGGCGGCGGAGTGGAGTAGCTATGGTATCAGGGTGAACTGCTTAAGCCCAGGGTATATGGACACGATATTGAATGATGGCGATGGTTTGATTAGGGCGAGGAAGAGTTGGAATGATAGGAATCCGATGGGACGCATGGGGCATCCGTGGGAGCTTACGGGGCCGTTGGTGCTGCTGTGTAGTAATGCGGGGAGGTACATTAATGGGACGGATATCATTGTTGATGGTGGGGCTATGGTATTTTAAGAGGGAACATATAGTGAAGGGAGAGAATGCAGGAATGATAGAAGATATCCGACCAGTGAAAACGCTGAGGTAGTACGCGCATGAAGGTCCGGAACTAGCTCCGCGCTACGTAGCCGAGCCATTCATGGATGCATAAGCCTACACCAGCCACCAATCTTCCCTCTTCTTCATACCAACACCGTAGACATGATATTGCGATGACCCAGTGTCCATTGACAGAGATGAGAGTGCTTTGCACCCCCGAACCCTTGACTTGACGCTGACCAGTGTAGTTAGCATCCCTTCATACCAACACGATAGACTGTTCACGCATCGTGCTGTCTCGAATCGCTTCTCCGTGCATATACCCATCAAAATAACAGTCGCCAATAAATTGGTAGTATCCTTCAATGGGTTTCTCGGACTGGTGACTTCCACTAGATCCATCGCTTTCATCACCCCCAACGTCGCTCGCGTCTACAGGCTTGAGTGCCTCTCTTTCTTCTTTGTTCAAACGCGCGGGCCGCAGGATGAACGGCACGTTTCCACCGTCTAGAACCCATACCTCGTCTTCAACACGAACGTGCGGATAGCAGAGGCCCTGGCCGTTGTTACCTGTCTTGAAATAGCGACGACCATGTGTTATGACGGAGATCATATGGCATAGTGTGGCATCAATCGTACACTCCTCTCCTTCAACCCATACAAGGAAGTGTTCGAGCCAACGCATCGTTGCAGGACTGAATTTGAGATCCCACGCGTGGCTTTCTGTACCGACTGGAATGTCCAATCCTCCGAGCAGTGTTCGCCAAAATGCCATGACGGTATTCGGCTCTCTAGAGAGATTGGTCTGCAGACTAATATAAGCTAAGGTTTCAAAAACACTGCAGTTGAGCGCGGATAACATCCATCTCTTGAAGACATCTTTATGTCTGCGGGCAGCCTGATCTGTCAAGGATATTATGGTCTGTACATCTTCGGACACAAAGGTAACTTTGCCTACACGACTGCCTGTGACGCCGAGCCCCACTCGTCCTACCACCTCACCCGACGATCGCGGGGAAGCTTTTAGCAACACAGCGCTCGACCTGTGATCATCGGAAGCATTGAAGACGCCATTGTCAAAGAGCTTGTACCTATCGAAAACCACATCGACGTCCATGCGATCGTAAGGCGCATCAAAGTCCCGCACCCAGGACGCCAGTTTGTACGGCGCTGGGCCATATTGAGGGCCCGTGAGACTCTTTAGGAACCCCCGTTCGCGTCGAAGCATTTTGTAAGTAGCCTGGAAGAAAACTTCCTCTTTGGACAAGGCGTAATCAGGGGTGAAGAACCGGTCATCAACGACCCCTAGCAGGCCGTAGACTTTGTCGCGCGGATCTTGACACGTCCGAAACCCATACACTACGTGTTGTGTCTGTAGGTCGTATTGCTTGAGATCGCCTCCCTCATCGCGTTTTCGATCGTAATAAAGGTTCCGGGTTATGGTGCAAAAGTCTTTTAGAGCAATAGCCATTGTAAGAGGCATTTGCGAAACGGCATAGTTGCAACATGACTTCCAGGCATGTTGGTCGTAGTACAACCCGCATTCGGTGATCATCTGAAGCGATGCCGTCCATGTGTCAAAGTACAAGGTACCGGTCTTTGGTAGGATGGCTTCTTGTACGGTCCATACGCGTGTCCACCAAGGACTTCGGTAGATAGCGAGAAAGCCTTCGCACATCATGTTGAAGTCTGCGTCGGGCGTGTAGACAACCCGATGGGGACTATCGGGTGGGAAGCAGGACCATTCAGAGACATGGCGACCAATTGCCAGCAACCGTATGATTCCGAACGGATCCGCTCCTTTCAAGTCCTCATTTGCTCCATGGCCAAGGCGGCATTGCGAAGCATCGCAGCCTAGCCAGATACGTACTTGGGCGCATCCGGAATATATCTTGCCCATGAGGGCCACTTGGTGCGACCTCTCCGTCGTATCCAACTGATTGATGCACACAGCGTCTACCCACAGCGGAAATTCGTTGTCCGGGTCGCGCATGTGCCGGAGCGCCTGCTCGAGATTGGAGGTAACTTGGACCGCGACGCCGTCGACCTCGATCAGCTTCGTGGCGTTGGGGTCGCCCCAGGTATATGACAGAGCGTCATAATGCGGCTTCTCGTAGAAGCTGACTGGACGCAGGCTACATCGAATAGGCTCCCATGCGTTGCCAGCGTGCAGGCTGAGAATACGCAGGTACTCGCTCGCATGCGGTAAAGCTTCATAATCAAGGTGGGCGTGGATTGGCTTGGCTTTGTTGGCGTGCACACCCATCGTGGGTGGTTGTTGCCTCAAGCCTCATCAAAATAGCAGCTTGGAGGGATGCAGCTTACCGAGACCTTCCTTCCGGCGACATCCTGCGTGCCTGCCAGATTGAGACGGAATGGCGAAGCGAGCCAAATCTGAGCTCCAAATTATCTGGGCCATTCCAGCGAAGAAACCCTTATCCGCTCACCCTTTGCTTAATCTCTTGTGCGCTGAAAAGTAAACGTCGAGATGCACGCACAAGCTTCCTCTTCCCCAATCTTATCACCCCCCTCGCAGTCGCGATGCCGATCCCATTATACCCCGCCTCGCCTAACACCTCTATTCTTCCAAAAGCAGTATCTTTCCCAGTGCGCACGCATCAGCCGACTCCCGTACCCCAGCGACAACAATGCGCAAGGCTAGTTCCCACGATACAGTTCACCCACCTGCAGGCCAAACGTGGCGGCCGACTAGCTTAATAAGACGGCAAGTCCGTCCCGCACCACCCGGCAAGCGTACCCCTTGCCTCGTCGCAACGCCAATAGGCCGTGCAGCCAGCAGGAACCTTGGGAGAGCGCCTGCGTTTGACATGTGCGGCTGCGACTGCGCGCGGAAGCGATAAGGACAACATCAACAACTGCATCAACTTAAGGCGCGCATCTGGGACTTTGGGCATCCGGACATCCCGAGCTATTCTTCTCGCAGCGGCTTGCCGCGTTATCATTAGCCCAGCCCTTGTTCATCAAGAGACTGACACCTTCTTGTGCGCTGCGCGCCGTCCTTGAATTGAAGGTGTCCGCAGCACCCAAAATGGCCGACTTATCGCACACCCGAACGAACGACGAGATGCTTAAGAACGCCGCGCATCTTTCGGAAGACGTTCCACCCGAAGACGACGAAGTAGGCGGATCCTCTAACATGAGAATAGTCGACTTTGGAAGAGATGGTACCGCCGATCCTGAGAACGGGGTGGATGAAGCAGTGCATCAACAGCCGCCAAGACGAAAAAAGAGGAGGTTTGGACTGGGGAAGAAGAAAGAGAGTTATAGCCATACGCATTACAAGGTCTACAAGAGACGGTGGCTTGGGCTGGGCCAGTTGGTGTTGTTGAACATTGTTGTTAGTTGGGATGTAAGTTGACACCTGACACCGTCGCCCGTTCCGTTGTTTGCTTCTGCGCGTGTTGCGAAAGGGTCTTCCGTTCCGGACTTTGAGCGTTGCCCTGCGTTGTCGATCGGCGGTGTTGGGACAACGTTGCATGAACATCATTCTTGAGCACCAAGAAACTGCGAAGTACAACTGTAACTAACACATAACATAGTGGCTGACATTCGCCCCCATATCAACAACCTCATCCCAATACTTCCACGTCCCGGAATCATCCATCAATTGGCTCTCAACCGCCTTCCTCTTCTCCTTCGCCGCAACATGTCCGTTGACCATTTACTTGCTCCACCGCGGCCCCAAGCCATCCATCATCGCCGCATCCATCTTGTTGCTGATCGGCAACTGGATCCGGTATGCAGGTACCAAGACCAACATCTTCCCCGTAGTCATGGTGGGCCAGATCTTGACGGGGTTGGCGCAGCCGTTTGTGCTCGCGGCGCCGACCCGGTATAGCGATATGTGGTTCACCGAGGGAGGAAGGATTGGTGCGACGGCGCTGGCTAGTCTGGCGAATCCCTTTGGGGCGGCGGTAAGTATAACGCAGGAGGAGCAGACGAAACCGTGGCTAACAAAACACAGCTTGCGTCTCTCATTAACCCGTTCTTGGGCGACGTACCAACTACGGTGTTGATAGTATCAATCATCGCAACGGTAGCATGCCTCCCGGTACGTCTTCCCATAACCTCCCGTCAGCACTATCACATATCTAACTAACACCACACAGTCTTTCTTCATCCCCGCGGCACCACCAACACCCCCCTCAGCTTCCTCTGCCATCTCCAAAACCTCAATTCTGACCTCCCTGAAGCACATGCTTCGCACCCCCTCCTTCTACCTCGTCTTCTTCACATTCAGCGTCTACACGGGCTTCTTCAACGCCTTCACTTCGCTGCTAAACCAGATCCTGTATCCATACGGCTACACCGAAGACGAAGCGGGTATCTGTGGCGCGGTGCTCATCGTTGTTGGACTGGTAGCTTGCGCTATTACCTCACCCATCATAGACCGCACACACGCCTACCTGCTCGGTATCAAGATCCTATGTCCTGTGCTATCCGCAGCTTATCTAGCGATGATATGGGCGCCGGAGACGAGGACGATCGTCGCGCCGTATGTACTCGGTGCAGTCTTAGGCGCATGTTCATTTTCGCTGCTTCCGATCGCGCTGGAGTACCTAGTCGAGATCACTTTCCCAGCTAGTCCAGAAGTTTCCTCAACGATCTGCTGGGTCGGAGGACAGGTCTTCGGCGGCATCTTCATCGTCATCATGAACGAGCTCAAAGACGGAAGACCCGTGGATCTGGACGCTGTACAAGATGCGGGCAGGGATGAGGCTACGGGTGGGAATAGACCGCCTGGACATATGCTTTGGGCGCTGGTCTTCCAGGCTGTGGTTTGTGCGGTGGTCTTGCCACTGCCGCTGATGTTGGGTGTGAAGCGGTTGGGCCTCGCTAGTAGAGAGGGAAGACTGAAGAAGGACGTCGATGGCGATAGCATTGTTGTGGCGGAAGAGGGGTCTGGTGAAAACGTCCAGGGACACGAGCAATGACTCCTTGGGGACATGGATTCTGGTGACGATTACGAGGATGATGATGACGACGACTAGGGTTTCTTTGTAGGGCTGGGTTTTCTTACCTTGTCTTTTCGGGTTTATCTTGGGTGGGGAACTGGTTTCCTTGGTTCGTCTTTTTCATTATAATTGTAAACGGGATTCATGTCCGCGTATTATCAATCAAGACGATACTTTGCGTCATTCATTCATGATGTTGTGCAATGTCTTGAAATGGATCGGGAAGATAGAAGTACAGTGATATTCTAAACACGACTCTAATATGTACAGTCATCCACGCATTTGACATGTCTTGATGCTTGCATTCATTCCATTCCGAAGGGGCTACGTTCCTACTACTTGTCATGTGCCAATATTGTATTGGTATTCGCTCGTAAGAGGACGAGGATCGGCGGGGGTCGGGTCTGTTTACTTGAGCTGGGCGAAGAGCTTGGGGGCGGCGCATTGGGACGCGCAGTGGGCGAGGTGGAAAACTGGAGTCATGTTAGAGATTGTTGGCAATATGAAAGATGGGCTGACGCACATTCTTCAACGCAGTCCTCGCTGGCCTTGCCGTCGTTCTCGATCTGGCCTGTTACCCGTTGGGCGCACTCGTCGTAGTGGTGCTTGGGGCCGTGGCATTCCTTGGACTCGGCGCATTCTGGAGGAGATGGTCAGTCACTGTTCCGTCTGCGGTGGCGCTGCGTGTCTGGCATCGGGCCCTGTCGGATACGGTGGGCTTCTTATCGACACGTCCTGCCAAAGCCGAAGCCCTCCAGACACGCAATTGATGTTTCAAGGCCGCTGGGTTTCCATATTCGTAGTCCGGGATAACTCACCCTGCTCAAGCTTCTCCTTTGGGTCGGGCTCCTCCTCGTCCTCTTCCTCCTCCTCAGGCTCATCCTCGTCATCGCCGCTCGGCTTGTGTCCCTGCTCGCCCGAGTCGCCGCCCTTCTTCGCATCCTGCTTGTTGACCTCGGCCTCGTCGCCGCTCTCCTCGTCGGTGCCGGACGCAGGCGTCTGGGTGCTGGTGCCACCTTGGACGGGCGGTTGGCCCTCGGCGTCGGCCGAGGGGTGGGAGAAGGTCTCCCAGACGTCGGAGAAGAAGTCGGTGATACCCATTGTGGTGGCTCCGGGGCAATTGGGGGTCCTCGAGTGTGGGTGCGGGTGGTAGCGGAGGTGTTGGGCGATGGGGAACGAGAGCTGCGAGAGGTGTCATGCCGGGATCGCGAAAATGGGCGGTGCACGGGCCAGCGAAATGGTTAGCGGCGTCATGTAATTCTGAGCCATCTCAGTGGTCTCTTCATTGCGATTACATTCGTTGTGTATTCTTTACACAACATCGTGTTATACGGTACATAGCTAGTTCCTATGTCTCTTAAACGCCTCCTCCACGCTCACTCCGCGACACACGTCCGCAATCACCCTCTCGTCCGCCTCGATCAGCTTCGGTAGTAGGTCGAGCAGTTCGTCTACCTTGCCCTGTGGCACCGCGACCACGCCATTCTCGAAAGGGTCAATCATGATGATGTCGCCGGCTTCGACCACCGTCTCGCCGATTCTTACGGGCACATTGTGCGCATGAAACTTGGTCTCGGCTCCTGCGCCGATGATAGACGTCGCTTTGGACCAGATAGGCAGCTGCGTCTGGTTCAGCGCGGTGATGTCCCGCACCCGACCGTCGACGACGATACCCTCTGCACCGAGATGCTGCATGCGAGCCGCCATGATACCGCCGACGACTGCGCACGACTGCCCTGGAGGTTGGCTGATGACTACAATGGTGCCGCTCTCGGTATAGTCTGCGTATGGTCTGGAGTCGGTAAGGTTGGAAGCTGGAATGCTGTCCGTCATCTTGGGAGGGTTCGGGAAAGACTTGGTCGCTTTCGCAATCATGAGGAAGGTCGATGCAGGCGCGAGGACCTTCTTAAGCTCAGGCTTGGGGATGCTGGCTGTGTGAAGCAGCGGCCCTGACGAGGTCAATGACTGATGTGACACATTGTCTTCAATTGATCGTACTGATATCAGCGAGGAAACCCGCGCCTGGTACGTGTAGCTTCAGTAGACCATCCGCGAGCTACAAGAGTTTAGTTACGAATCTGGCTATGGAGAGGGTAAGCGTACGTCACATGCTGCGTATTCATATAGCTTCTTCCATCTGGGTGATGCCATTGTCGTGGTTCTGTAGTATTGATCGCGAGACAATGTATATGATCTAGACGTGCAGCGCGACAAGCTACGAGGCTCTTTACCCCGCCAGCCGAGGTGCGCCGCGACTTTGGCACAACATCTTCTCCAACCTTGGACTGGATGCACCACAAGCCTCACAAACGGCTTGACATCTGAACTTCTCAGTCCGTATAGTTGTCAAGATGCAATGACTGCCCTTGCTTACCTACGTCATAGCGAATCGCCCTGAACCCAGGCGCACGTCAAGATATCACACGCCGCTGTACCATGCTGCAAGTGAATGGACGCGATATCTGAAATACAGAATATCCTACAAGACGATTATGTGATGAGCCGTGGCGGTGAATTGACCCAGATGGTGGCGCAAGGTCGAGTTCCGCCGTATCGCCAAGCACACGACAGATGCAAGGGTCTCGGAACTTAGATGCATCTCAGCACTGGCCCATTCTGCCACTTTCCATAGACGTGACGACTAGCTTTCCGTGGCCTCTCGCCGCCACGCCTGCACCACCGCCCACGCGCGCCTATTCCTTTCCTTTCATTTGGTACTTGATATAGTCCCTGCGGCCTCTGCGCTGCGCATTCTTCACCATGGCCCTCCACGCGGCCGGCGCTGCCCAGGTGCGTTTTGCCACGAGTTCCGACATCGCGTCATTGAACCCCTACTGACAAAACATATAGAAGGTCGCTTCTGTCACGTCGCAACTGTCGCCCACCATGTCTACCGTCCTGCGCTCCCCGTGGCACGCCCTGGGCCGCATGCCCACGGCTGCCGGCGTCAGGCAGCTCACCACCGCATCTTCGTCTTCATGTTCAGGTAAGTCGCAATGAGGCACAGTCGGAGCACAACACTGACACTCTGCAGTACCGCGCGTCGGACTATGCAACCCCTTCGCCATGACATCGCCCGTCGCTGCCCTCAGGGCACGCCAGTTCTCTTCCATGTCGCGCAACGGCCCTCTCTCGCACTTCCGCCAGCTGACCAAGCCCGGCATGCTCGGACTCAGCCTCGTACAACAGCGCTCGCTCTTCGGTGGCCCCTCTCAGGAACAGCTCGCTCGCCTCGAACAGGCTGCTAATGCCAGCCCTACGAGCGCCTCCGCTCAGGCTTCCTTCTACTCGGCTCTTCTGCGCGGCAACTACCACCAGATCATCATCGACCGGTACAACACAGGACGCTTCGCCACCAACTCCACAATCGACAAGATGTACAACAACGCCTTGGCAAAGACGGGACAGGACGGCGGCGAACACTCGGGGCTCACCGCGAACCAGCGCCAGGCTATCACCCAGGCCATTGGCGCAAACGCTGGTGGTGCCCAGGTCGCCAAGACCAGGGGCGGCGCTGGCGTCAAGGCCGACCCCGTCTACGTCGTTGTCGAAGAGTCTCTGATGAATGTTATCTTCAAGTGGGTCCGCTGGATCTGCGGTTTCGCTTTGGCTGCCTACGTCTCCCTGATCCTCATCACCCTCTTCGTCGAGACCAGCGGCGTCCTCAAGAAGGGCGTTGGCGGTAAAGAGAACGCCGAGGTTCGCCCCGAGCAGCAGAACACCCGCTTCAGCGATGTCCACGGTTGCGACGAGGCCAAGGAAGAACTCACCGATGTCGTCGACTTTCTCAAGAACCCCGACAAGTACAACAAACTCGGTGGCAGACTCCCCAAAGGTGTACTCCTAGTTGGCCCTCCTGGTACTGGTAAAACTCTGCTTGCTCGTGCTTGCGCAGGAGAGGCCGGCGTTCCCTTCTTCTACATGTCCGGTTCGGAATTCGACGAAGTCTACGTTGGTGTCGGAGCCAAGCGTGTCCGCGAACTCTTCACTGCTGCTCGAGGCAAGGCGCCTGCCATTGTCTTCATCGACGAACTTGATGCCATAGGCGGAAAGCGCAGGTCGCGCGACGCCAGCTACCACCGCCAGACCCTCAACCAGCTTCTCAACGATCTCGACGGCTTCGACCAAAGCAGTGGTGTCATCTTCATTGCTGCCACCAACCATCCCGAGTCTCTCGACGAAGCCCTGCTTCGCCCCGGACGCTTCGATCGTCATGTCCAGGTTGAACTCCCTGATGTAGGTGGCCGACTGGCTATCCTCAAGTACCACACTCAGAAGATCCGCCTCTCTCCCGATATCGACCTTTCTACCATCGCCCGTGGCACACCTGGATTCTCTGGTGCCGAGCTAGAGAATGTCGCCAACTCGGCAGCTATCCGTGCTTCTAAGATTCAGGCAAAGTTCGTCTCTCTCGACGACTTGGAATGGGCCAAGGACAAGATCAGTATGGGTGCAGAAAGGAAGAGCCGCTCCGTACCGCTCAAGGACAAGATTCACACCGCCTACCACGAGGGCGGCCATGCGCTCGTCGGTCTCTACAAGCCTGGCTTCAACGATCTGCACAAGGCGACTATACTTCCCAGAGGTCACGCCGCCGGTATTACCTTTTTCCTTCCGGAAGAAGAGGGCCACCACACTCGCAAACAATACATACGCCAACTGCAGGTCTCTCTGGGCGGCAAGATTGCCGAAGAGCTTGTATATGGTGAGGAGAATGTATCCACCGGAGCTTCCAGCGACATTTCCAACGCAACGAGGATAGCGTACATGATGGTCACTCAGTGCGGCTTCTCAGAAAAGCTTGGCAACGTCGACTACAAATCTAATTACGAGATGGTCGCACCCGAGACCAAGCGAATCATCGACGACGAGGTGCGGAAGTTGATCGATGAGGCAAGAAAGGATGCAAAGGAGTTGCTGCTGTCGAAGCGCAAGGAGCTCGACAGATTAGCCGATGCGCTTGTGCAGTACGAGACGCTGGACAAGAAGGAGATCATGAAGGTCATCAAAGGCGAAGACCTTCCTGGCCGGCTGAAGGCCTTGCCTGATGCGCCCATCAAAATCCCAGATAACCCACTCCCCACGGCGATAAGATCAAGGGGTGATGGTGGTGACGGCCCAGAACCTCCCGCGCCCATACCCGCGTAGTCTGCGGACGGGAAGGATGGATGTGCATAAAAGCACGTTGTTTATGAGGTGAATGGCGTTCGTTCGACCTCTTCCCTCTCGTTAGAGGGTTTCGCTTCATTGGTCATGTACAATATTAGGAATACTTTAGCTTAGCGAATAGAGCGAGCTATTGACCACGTCGCGCCATAGATAGTGATGAGAGCCGTGTGTGGAGATGATGGACAGAAAGAGGTAGATTGACGATAGTAAGAAAATAACGAGGAAAGAAGATAGACACACCAACACAAGCAGCTTGCAATCCAGATGAAGCTGCCTGGTACACTCTTGATGGTCTTACACCCCAACCTTGGTGAATTGAACAAGGAAATCGCGATTGCGATGTATTCACTCATGTCACCAGTGTGAAGGCCAGATGAGCAGTGGCGAGTTTCTGAGCCCAGTTCCCTCTGCATGCACTCTCAAAGGTCGCGAAATAAGAGACAACCCACCATGTACCGTCAAGCTTTGGCACTCACTGCAGCCAAGTCAACTTCCTCACGGTCATTTCTACGGCTCTAGCCCCCTACTTCTATTCGACCTTGGAATTACAACATGGCGAACTCCCGTAACAATAGGACTACGCCTCCAGCATCGCGGAACATCACCAACATCGTCGACCAGTACGCGTCACCGGCTATGGGGTCATCACTGCCAGAATACTCACCAGGGTCATATGATCCTATTCTGAGCGGTCGTGGACAGGGTGATGTCAGCATGTCTTCATCGCCATCCCCATCACCATACCCCCTTTTAGACTCCAGACGAGCCGCCTTCCGTCAATCAACATCCACGCATTCAGGCTATCTCGACCGCGCTCAGCTCTTCGGTCGCACGCCCATCCAGCGCAACGCACGTCGCGCCAGCCCTCCTTCTACCTCGAACATACTAAACATACGAAAGCGAGCTTCCCGTACCCCTACTGGTGAGTGGGCGGAAGCCGGTCTTCCTGAGCCACCGATTGAGGAGAATAGGGTTAGCTTGGATAATGCTGAGGGTTTGATTTGTACGCCTACTGGCATTACTACGCTTGGGGTTGGAGAGGGGACGCCGGGGAGGTTTTCACCGACAGCGCGGTCGCCTGCTGAGGATGCGCTGAGGGTGCAGTTTGAGGGGGGTAGGGTAGAGCTGGCTAGGGATCTTGCGTCGCGAACTGGTCCGAACGGGAGGTCGAAGTGGGCGGGGAGAATCGAGGATAGGGGTCGTGAGGGGTATGTGTCTCCTAAGACGCCTTCTGTTGCTTCTGATGATAAAGAAGAGGAAGAGTTTGGGTATGTGGATCCGGCGAGTGTTAGGGATGTACTTGCGCGCGTCAAGGCGAGGGAGGCGATGGGTGGTGAGAACGGCCGTGCGAAGCCACTCTTTGACGGTGGACAGCGTGAGAAGGATGAAGGTGGGCCGAGCAGAAGCTACTTCGACGTAGATGCTCCGCGCCGCAGTAAGCATGCGCTCTTCGCCAATTCTTCGGATCCAGACAAGCCTTTGCCAAAACTTCCGGATCGAAGTGTCCGGGTCTTTTCGATACCATGGCAACCGGTCGAACAGCCCCCTACGAAAACATCAACTCGTCGAAACCACCTATCTGCAGCTAGCGATCGAGCTAAGCTTTCTTTCTCGCCTATCGTCACTGCTATGGACGTGGCTCCCGAGCCAGCGGGTCAAAATCTCGCCATCACACCAGCACCCATCCATCTTTCCCTTAGCCCTATTACAACAACCATATCTCAGCAGTCTACTCGTCCACGCAACCGCACCGGTCTCACCTTCTCCCAAGCTACAGCAATAATCTACGGCTGCATGGCCATCACAGCATCGCACCAAGCGCTCCTCGGTCTAGGCGGCGACATCGCGGCTATGGACCTGATCTTGGGTCTATATGGCGCTTTCCTTTTTGGTGTCGCTGTCTGTGTGGCTCTACAACTGCTGTTGGGCGCTAGATTGCGATGCGTGCCGGGGGACGTTCTGCGATGGTGTGGGCGGGCATAGGGACCTCGGGATTCATACGTGAAGCATTCTGGGACGGAGTTGAAGATGGAGTTTGAGAGCGCCGCGGTCAGGTGTAGACGCGCAGGATGTATGCTCTTTGAATGGAGGTATGGGAAAGATCGTTGTTTGAGTGGGCAACGAGTCAATTTGCGATGTGTAAGGGCATACTATAGATATAGGAATGATGCGCATCACGACGCAGTGAGTAGGTATGTTATTGCGACATTGATCTTTCATACCATCCAGTGTACTAGACTCTTGGCCTTCCATAGAGTACGTAAATCTCTGCATGTGTACACCAAGTTGTTCGTGACCATCACATACCGACTTCAATACACTCCACTCCTCTCCACCACCAACCCAAGTCTACACCGCATCCACACCTAGAACCCATCGCCCCCTCAAACCCATCCCATCAATCACACCTGCGGCCTCCTCCTCCCCTCCTCCGCCTCCCGGTCCCCCATTAACGACTCATCCGCATCGCCATACTCCATAACGCGTCGGCGCGCCTCCCTCGATATAGCCTCGTTCTCCTCCCGAACGCGACGGCGCTCCTCTTCAGCCTGTGCCTCGATGAGGTCTTGGACGTAGATTGTGGCGTCAGTGAGCTTGGCGATGATGAAGTTGGCAATTGCTCGCGGGGAGCCTGGGCCGTTGCTGTCCATGGGGTGTGAGGAGGTGTTGTAGGGTGTGTTGTAGGGTGTGTTGGTGGAGTTGAGTGGTTCAAAGAGTAAGGTTTTAGAGAGTGAGGCTTTAGAGAGCTGTGTTAAGAGGTTGAAGTGATAAGGACAGGCTGTAGAGTTGTGGTGGCTGCTTTTGTTGCTGCGAGGGTGCGTAGAGCGAGGTGAATTGTCACTTCATCTGCTTTCCATGGTACGTGGTGGACCCTTAACCGCCTTCCACGACGATAGGCCTCACCAGCAAGGGTAACAATCGCATTCACTGTCGCCCTGATTTTGAATGCCATTGTCAACTTACCTTCAAGAGCGCCGTCGCTGTTGTGACTGTCGCTTTCACCTAGGGCGTCAGCACCGTAGATTGATCAGTGCAGCAGCGACGTATGGAATCGTGACACTTTTGTCGCGCGCTCATCAACTCTTCGCATGAACACCTGCACGATGTTGCTTGTATTTGTTACTGGTCATGACATCGAGGTATCGAAGAGCGTGGCGATTGCTGGTCTTGGACCGACGCGCCTTCACGCTGTGTCGGCGAGTCCGCAGCCAACGTAGACCTGACACTATGGGGAGTTAATACTGTGACGGGTCATCGGTAATGCGCTACAATTTAGATGAGGAAGTGTTGCGCAATAAAACAGCGCTTTGTTCAATCTTGTGTGTCCAGCTGTGACGCGCATGCGGGCACCGTCTACTGCAGGGTCTGACCTGTGCCTTCCTCCATTCTTCACCACATCACCATTCGAGAGTGCATTGAGACATTGAGTAGCTTCATTCACCTAGCTGTCGGCATTAGCCGCGACTACGCTTGCAACCCCTACGAATCATACGCCAAGTATGACCATGCTGTCTCAAGACATCTAGTCAGCATGGATTTGCACATCGCAGCTTTGAGCGGCGCGTTCGACAGCCTCAGCGAGTACTGCAACCATCATCATGCCCAACTGAGCAAGTAGCTGCTCGCCCATCCCTGTAGCCACACTGACAACGAAGCACACAGGCGCCAGCAGCACGTCGCGCTCGACTTTCTCAGTCCAGCACAGTTGACGCAACAGAGCGGCGTAGACCCCCATAAAGATCGCCGATTTCCAGAGAGCAAGAAGCAGAGTCTTCGGCCCTAGAAGAGATGCGCTGAGGAAGGTAATCGCGTACATGGCCATGACACCGAACTGAATGTCCCGTTCTAGTTGCGCATTCGAGATCTCGAAGGGACCGATGGTGAGGCGCTCCGGGAAGTCGCCGATCTTTCCTTCGTCCACAGTCAACCGCTTAGAGATATTCGTTTTGGCGAGGCCGGCCGCGTCGATCTTGAGGATGAGGTTCAGCGGGCCTATGTTGTTGACCGTAGCATCGGCGTCGTCTTGACGCTCCCGGTTGTGCTCGGCCAGCGCTTCGGCGATCTTGCTGGCGACATACTCGCGGATGCCTTGACTTAGCGAACTGTCGTCGTCGAAGGTGTTCGACGCGAAAGACTTGCGGGGGCTGGGCTCGTCTTCATTCAAAAGCGTGGAGTAAACGTGCTCGTCGGCGGTCTCGATGGGACGTGCGGTTTGTGGCGATATACGAGCACTCTTGAGGAAGTCATTTGTGCGCTTGATGCTGGTGGTTTTGTACCGCACCAGGTTGGGGTCTTCGACGGGGCCGCCGTGCTGGGGATAATTGGGGCTGTCTGCAGGCTTGTTAGTGAGTGCGTTGACATTGTGAGCAGCTTGACGTACCAGGTAGTATCTGATGCTCCGTGGAGTCCACGAAACTTGCACCGCAAACGCGGCTACTGTTCTCGTCTGTCACAATGTTAGCATGCTGTAAAGAAGCGCCCTGAGTAGACCCTTACTGTTCACGGCCTCTGCGATCTTGTGGGAAGAACCCAATGGCAACCCACTTCGTTTGTCTGCATCGCCAGCTGCGCGTGGAGAGATATCCTGGCTTTTGCAGTTCGTCCCGCGGCCGGCATCGCGTATCGGAGTCTTGTCGATCGCGCCTAGATCTGACTCTTCAACTGCTGTAGAACCAATCGTCTCGCCATCGCCAACCTCAGTCTCACCAAGTCGCTGTAAGCTGTGCATGGACTGCTCGCTGGGTAGGAGACCGATCTGTTTGTATCCTGGGCGCACATATGGCGACGCCAACGGGCTAGATGCGACTGGCGGAGGCGACTTCTGCATGGTAGCGGGACTGGATGATGCGCTCGAGCTGGACTGCTGTCTGAACAGTCCGCGGAAACGGCTCGGCTTTCGATCGGTTTTCGGTGTCGCGTTCGCGGGAACGCTGAGGCGAGCCATGTCGATGTCTTTCGCGTTGACAGGCGTTTCCTTTGGTGTTGCGGATGACATCTGGAGGAAGTAGAGTGAGTGGAGGGGAACGAGCTGCGGAGTGTTGTGGCCGTTGTCGCGCTTTGCTAAGCGAAAGTCGCAGTGAAGGTGAGTCTGCACGGATCCAAACGCGTCGACTCTTCACTCAGCAATCTAACCTTTGAGGATTTGATATGACGTTCGATTCTATTATAGTTCTTCTACCCTCCACACCGCTGCGCAAACAGTCTCGTCGTGATGTTTGATGAGGCGCGACCACATGTTTGCTTGCATTACCTTCACTCAAGCGAACGATGCCCAATTCCGGTCGCGGCGGCGAGAGGTCCTCCTCATGAACTAAGGCGTAGAGCTTAATGCTTGCTCGTCCAAGCGTATCCGTGTCTCTTACGCTCCTAATGGATCATTCAAGGACAGAATGACGCGACCACCGGGGCGGCCAATGACCTCGGGATGGAGCGCTTTTGCAAACATGCGATTTGGAACTGCGGACTGACAGCAAGCCGCCAGTTCAGTAACCCAGACAGTCAGTTCGTAGAGTATAGGGCGACTGATCTGTCTACGGCGCAGGCTTCTCGTATGGGTGCTAGACAGCCCAGTATTGTGTGCGTTGTCCCGGGAAACCGCTGAGTTATTTGATGACCATTGCGCAGACCGGCGGTATGCTGTAGTCGGTCTTTCAACCCTCAACGCTACCTAGGTACGCCTCACCTTCATCGCCAAGAAAGAGCCCGAAGTTTCAGACGATCCAAGGAAAGGTGGGTATCTGAAGAGGCGTACGTAGACCTAAGACTATTATAATACTACTAACCGCGCCGCTACTTTATTTATAGTCTACACGCGCTTTGTAATGCTGTTTACGCATACACGTAGCAGAACGGGCCCCCGATCGTGCTTATAGCTTCGCCTATAGTCACGTTCGGATATCCAACATACGGACCTATAACTAGCTTGTCCCCCAGCGTAGCGTTTGTGGCCGTAGTGTCGCCAATAGCGCCCGCGGAGCCCGCCACCGCCCTCCCGCGGCTTTCGAGATCTAGGTTCTGCCAGGTCCACCAGACGCGATCGATCATCCCGTGATGTGGATAGAATGCCGGGTCCGCAGGGCTGTTGTAGAAGTCCGACCCTGCATCGCCGCCTATCGTGTAGTGTCCACCTGTGTGCACTCCCATCCGCCCCTGAGCGAACGCACCCTGATACTCGGCCTGGAAGGACGCGATGTTCGTGTAGTTCTTGATAAGGCGAACGACCTCGGAATCCGACGTGGCGTTCGCAGCTTGCAGAGAGATATCGCGGCGCAGACAGCGAGGATTGTACCCCAGGCCATCAGGCTGCGGATTCGGCGAGAGACCACCGGGAATCTGAAGCATAGTCTGAAGTGGTCCCATGTTGATCTTGAAGCTGCCAGAAAGTCAGCTGGCCTGTGCGATATCAGTAAGCGATCAGAACGTACTCTTTGAAGGGGCCGGAAGTCACGCAACCGCCGCCTGTTCCAGGCTGGAGGTGCATTTAGCAGGGGCCAGCGACGCCGTCCCAGGGAAAACAAGAAGAGTTGCGATTGGGGATGTACTCCCCATCGCCAGACATGCTCGAAGCGCTACCGTCGAAGAACGGACCGCTCTTCGGGTCCTCGGCATAATGAGCCCAGTTGTAATATGGAAAAGTCCCCTGGAAACCACACTCGTCTCTAAGCATCTGTTCATAGACCCAGGTGAAGTACCGATGCCACGACAGGAAGTTTCCGGTGCCGTGGATGGAGAGCGACTGCTGGATATGAGTAACGACCAAGTCGTCGTAGCGACTCTTTGCGCCCGGCGCGACAGAAGCCGGGGTCCTCGCCGGCAGCTTGTGCAAGCAATTAACGGCATCGGTGTAGGCGACCCTCTCCTCGCGGGGTAGCGTTGCCCTATGTCGATCTCAGTGGTTTGGTGCTTCCAGCTTCGATATCGACTCACCATTCCCTTCGGACCGACAACTTCTCGGGTGTGCAAGTTCCTGGGCTCGGAAGACCACGTTTCGCCACGTGGAACATCAACTTTGTGAAGCCTTCAGCAGCAAGAGCATCATTTTCCATGAAGTTCACATGGGTGCGGCCAGCCAAGGCCAAGGCCGCACTGAGTACGCTGAAGAAGTAGACAGCCTTCATGGTCGAGCTTGTTTTGGTTGTCTAACGTTGCTGCTACTCAGGATACAAGAACAAAAGTGATACCAGCTCAGACGGTGTAGGCACGCTGGCCAGTGAGGCCAGCATCCAGCTTTATAGGGTGCAGAATGACACGGTGGCGGGCAAGCCTCGGGAGCATCCAGCCGCTGCGAACTCGACCGCCAGGATCTGATAGGCAGAGCACGAACGTCCTGTAGGACGCATAGTCAGCGGCTTCGAGCTAGCTCCGCGAGTCTGGGGCGGCCCGGTGGAGCAGTGAAGGGGCAACGCCGTTGATTGAGTGGGACTGGGACCTGCAGAGATTATGCGCGATCAGAGACGGACACTCGACAGGACGCCTCACGGTATCGTTGCGGGTCATCGACGCGTCGGCCGATGACTTTGTTGCGTCCAGTGTAGAAGAGGAGAAAGACGACGTCGTTGGAGTCTCGGCCGCGCAAGTCGCGAGAAGTTATCTGGCAGTCTAGCGCACCGAGTGATTGTGGCATCTCTCTGGCCTGGTCTAGCACTTCGAGCGGCGTGGAGGTCTTGCCCTCATACGGCGACTGTGCCACATTAGAGTACGCGAGGCGGCGTGGTACAACAGCCCTGCACGCTCGCCTCCAATCGGGTCCAGTCCGCTCACCTCTCTGCCGCACCTGCACGCGACATTCGAGCACGAGGCGCTTGGCGCGTAGGAACACCACTATCCCGCCACATCCTCAACGCCCCACAGGAGCATAAGTGGAAATGTCTATGCATCGCGTATGCAAGGATGTACGCAGATGCCAACTCCGTCCCATGCTTGCCTAGAGCACAGCGAACAGACTCAACGACCCAGCAGCTACCATGGCATGATATCGCTTCGTACAGCAGCACTGAAAGGCTCGAGATACGTGCCAGACCAGCAAACACACGCGCATGCTCTTTTCCAGCCGTGCCAGTTGTCTGCGGTAGTAAGGAGCTTATCGTGGAGCGCATGGCACAGGATGCCGTCTTAAATTGGGCTCCCTTCATCGGTTCCATTGCTACGGGATGGACGAGCATCGAGAAGTCGGCTCTGTGCCGTCTTTCCAAAACACGTTCATGTGCGTTGACCGCGCCGTAAGGAACGGTAACATGACGGAGCAGCAAGAACGTGTAGGGCTTGCAGCGTCCATCACGACCCCATAACTTCACAATCCTTCGCTACCTCACCAAGATGCCCGCTGCGCACTTACTCGCCTACTCGATACCACAGTACGTAGCAGCACTGTCGGTCGTTCTGACCCGCTGCTGGGCTCGCTCCAAGCGTGGCCGACCATACGGCTCGTTCGGAACCGACGACTGGGTGATGATCAGCGCGCTGGTACGCATCGTGTGCTGCAACCCGTTTCGGGACTCTATACTGACACGGCGTACCTAGGTGTTTGCAACATTTTGTTTCGTGTTCTACATGCTCCAGGTCGGGCTAGGGCTGGGGAGTCGTGTCGAGCTACTTGAAGCCAACGCGGCTATGTATCGCCAGCTGCTCGTGTTTCGCTTTTTCCACCAGATGTCGGTGGTAGTTGCGCTCGGATTGGTAAAAGTGTCGATATGCCTCTTTCTTCAGCGCTTGGTAGCGACGAACAAGTCGTACTCTCGGGCTCTCTGGCTTGCCATTGTGCTCATGGTTATCTTGACCCTCGTCAGCGTAGGGACGATAGTGAGTGAGCCCGTTCACGTCTCACGCAGCTGCTTGAAGCGCCTCCCTTGTCCAATTTATCCATGCTAAGCGATGGCACTGTGCTAGACTTTTCAGTGCGTCCCCATCACAGCGGCATGGGACTACAGGTTGCGTCCGCCGCCGTTCGGAGTGGGCAACGCAAAGTGCTACAGCCGGAGCACTTTCACTATCATCGGGCTCGGAAACGGGAGTAAGTTCCACTAAAGCCACTTGCGTCTTTCAATCTCGTTCCTGACCGTGTAGTATTTCACATCGTCACAGATATCCTGCTCGCCCTCCTGCCGATCCCAATCGTCATCAAGCTCAAGGTCACAATCCGCATTCGTATCTCACTGGTTCTGATCCTCTCCTTTGGCGCGTTTGCGGCCATTGCCGGCATAGTGAGACAGACCAAGGCCAGTCCGCTTGATGAGCATGACGCTTATTCGATTTGGAACTTTCTCGAACTGCACATGGGTATGATCGCAGCGTCCCTGCCATCTCTCAAAAAGCCGCTTGCAGCCATCTGGGGCACGATTGCTGCGAGGCCTCAGGTACCTACTGGCGCAGCGAGAATGTCAAGCCTTGGAGATCTCACTAGCAAAGTGTGGCCGGGGTGGAAGGCTGTTATCCGTCATGGTTCACCGACTGAAAGCGGGCATGAGCTGGTGGAGGCAAATTCTTCTCCGGAAGTCAACCCTAAAAACAGCAGTGACGGTTTCTAAAGACCTGCGCATCTAGTAAGGGATTATTACACTGATCGAACAGTTTGAACAACCCTGTAGCCAGGCGGGGTCCGAGGATGCTGTCGACTGCAAGGACAACAACACTTGTCCCATCAAGACCCGGGGCGCGGGCGTACGGCGATGGTTGCGGTAACGGGCTCTCTTATCTCGCGTCTATACCTCGTTCGTTTCCTGGGTGGCGCCCACAGCACGTCTTGTGTACATCGATTTTGAGGCATCTGGACTCTAGCAATTCATTCTCACCTTGCCTACTCTCCTCGTTTCTTGATAGGTGCCGCAACGC